GTGGGACAGGAAATGGGGATAGTGAGAGAATGAGGAAGAGTGTATTTGCAGGCTGCTGACTCATTTGTCTTGCCTCAGGCTCTTCCTTCATTAGCTTGGCATTGACCCAGTACTAGTACGTAACATACATTGCACACTTGAACATTTAGTCTGTCGTGGTCTCTGTATTTTTGTCTATTCGTGGGTTCTAAATTCCTCCTCCCACTGTTGCATAACCAGTTGAAATAAAAAGTAGGTCACAGCACACCCCCAAAGCAGGTCCTGTCAGATCAGCCCCTTCATCACCCTTTCTTCCCCTCTCTTTTTCATCTTTAGAAGGAATGTCAGCACTCTTTCTGTTCACTTATTGAAATGACGCTGAGTGGGGGGGGCATCATTCCCACTTGTTTTACAGTACATAGCCTTTATGGTGTTGAATTGATCCACATGTTTTAATCTTCTGTATTTGAATTGTTATTATTTGAATAGCACTCTGTTACTTGGCAGGTTTAAGTTCAACATTGGTTCAGTGAGTCACATTGCGGAAGTCAGTCAGATTTGCATCCATCATCACGGATGTTTGTACAAAATTGTTTACTCTGTGACGTGTTCACTTGAACCTGCACTGTGGTATGTGATCTGTTTGTCACCTATGTGTATTTACACAAGTGTTCTCTTATCTTGGTGATTCAAGACCTTTAAAAGATGATAACAAGCAAAGTTTGGGAGATAAATAGTTAATTAGTGAAACAGTCAGTTTGACTATTGGGTATTAATAACAGAAACCTTAAATGCAAATTTTAGATGAGGTTGTACATCTCTAAAAGAGTTTAGTGTGTTTGTGTGTGTATATAGTATAGTGACTCAGTATAGTTATTTGAAACTAGACTGTGAAACTAGACAGGGAATCAGCCCAGCTGTGTTTCAGAGAACATGCAGGAAAAAAGACACCTTGATGTGAAATATCAGCAATGCTAAGGCTGTGTGGCGTCTAGTAGGGCTGTAACAGTTCTGAAACCGAGACCGAAATCGCGACACAAAAGTCCACGGACTCGTGTCGCGGATCCGAGATAGAGAACCGCGACACACTCCCTCCCTGGACTGTTGAGCTCTTGTTAAGACAGTGTAACTGCGGTGGTGGCGGCGGCCCATGGGGTGGTAGCGGCGTACGCCTATATCGTATTTGTATTGACAGTAGGTTATTCTAGGTCATTTTCCCCCTTATTTTAGTGTTTATTTACTACTTTAATCTGCTCCCTTTCTCTTCTCCCCACACTCACACACAGCTCACACACCTAGCCTGGACCTCTGGTCACTCAAGGCAAACACGCCCGCTTGCTCCGCCTCTTTCTGTCTCTCTTTCCCTGTGTGTGTCTCTGCTGACTTTCTCCATCAGCAGTACGTTTCATAAACTCACCCGTGATTCAGTTTTCAAGTGCGCCGCATGTGGGTCCAAACCGAAACTAACGTTAGTGGGTGACATCTGCAGTGGTGCGTTCATAATAATGGGCATAATGTAAGATTTCTGCCGTATCCGCTTAATGTAATATCAGATAACATCTCTCTCTCTCTCTGTTTCTCTGCAAAATGGGGAAACGGAGAAAACCGCGGTATGAACCGAACCGTGGCTCAAAAATCGAGGTCTGAACCGAACCGTGGATTTGTTGAATCGTTACACCCCTAACTAGTAGTGATATTTTGAAAGCTTTGAGTAAACTGATCATGCAAAGATTTAACCCGAGATCTGCACCGATCAGTTATTATGCAGCCCCATACGCAACAAACTGTGTTTTGATGGCTGGTCTGCGTATACAAACAATTCTTTCCTGAAACCATGTTACAGCTGTGGACATGTTGACCAAAGGAATACATTCTTATGTGTAGGATCTTGTGTGAAAATAAAGTTTAAACCAAAAGAATATCTGCCAGTTATTGAGAGTTAATTAGTGACTTCTGACAGGCAGTGCCCTATAACCACGCTTTAAACTGATTTATAAGTTCTGTGTGGATAGACTTGTGTGTCTGTATATCAGAATCAGTATAAAACAATGCATAGAGACATACATCATATATTTATTAAGTAGTACATACACAGTAATTGTACATCCTCTTACTCTTCATTGCCTCTGAGTTCAAAATCTTTCCCAACTTCTTCTCTCATCTCTCAACTACCTGCTTGTCTCAGGATGGATATGTATATATGTGCTATCATCAAAGTTCCTCCATGTTAGTGTAAATGGATTTTCCTATATAGCAGTGTCTTTCTGTACTTCACACCAAAGGCTGTTATGATCTTTGGGTGTTTCGCTTCAAATGTTGCCTATTGGGGGCAAAGGGTAGAACTGACCTGACTGAACACATAATTTGAGGACGTTATCTCTGTTTTAGTCCGCCCCGATAGTCAATAGTCAGTTATTGAGTTACTAAATAAACAAGATTTTTCTAGACCTAAATATTTGACATTTAAGTATAAAAAAGGACAACATAATATTTCCACACATGACATTAATCATCATTTATGTTGTATAGGGCATTGCATGTTGTCCTTGTAATTTGCTGGTATTTCATTTACAGCAGTGTGTTACATCATTTTGTTCATTGTGTATTCTGAAATAAAATACGTGGGAGGTGTCTTCTCCGTACATTTATGGAGGTTTTACTGTTTGACGGCGGAGGAGGAGTTGAGACATTTGAAACGTAACACAACACAACATAGTTTAAAGCTATGGAAAGCTAAGTTTAGCCAGGAGCCTATATTAGTCTGTGGTTCATATTTACCCCTTAGTATCTGTACACTGCTTGGCTCTTAGGTTTCCCTCACTGGCTTTGTGGCCCCTCCTAAGGGAAAGCTTATATTTGAGGTGTTAATGCCTATAGGAACATGCACACATTTCATCATCTGCAGGGATCCAAAATAACTGTAACTGTCATGTCTTGGAGTCGGAGTTAGCTGTCCCTTTTGAATTGAAGAGCAAGGGCTTCTTCCTAGGTGTGGCATTTTGCACCTATGTTACAGATAAACAGATAAATTAATCCGCATAGAAATTAATTACTCTAGCAACTCAGTCATCTTTACTGCAACATAACCAGTGGATATGTTGTATTTTCAGTAATGGGTCAAAACCCTTGTCTGTAAACTAAATGTGGTCAATGGCATGTCTACTTGAGTAGCTTCATTATTTGGATTAACAATTTATGTTTCTGACTTGTCGTTTCCTCATAAATCTGATCTGGTGTACAGCGCAGCTTTCAAAAGATCCTCTTCCAAATGAAGTGTCAGCTGGATGTTCTTGTCATCTTTTTATCTCATCATTCAACCCCTCCAAATGTTAATGAACAGAATACAGATGGAGAGGCCCTCTGACTGACAGGACCCTGACTTGCACAGATGGTTGTCTCTAGGTGCTCATCTCCCTCCTCCTGACAGCCAGGCTGACAGGGCGCTAACATGACTGTCCATGTGTCCCACTCTTTCCTGACATTGATATTTGACCGCTCAAGGGGAACCGCTCCAGTTTCAGAATCACATGGTGTATCTGAGCTTTTGCATCCTTCCCTCTTGTCACTGGTGCAATGTGTCATCATGCTCAGAGTTAGATTTTTGCATTAGCCTTAATGTTTTCAGGTTGAACAAATGTACAAGGCAGTGCCTGTAGTTCCACGTAATAGAGCTCTGATTAAGTAATTCAATGTGTTTTGAGTGTCTACTTTTGGCCTTGTTTGCCTAACTAAGGGCTACTGTGTGTGAGAGGTCTTTGTTTGATGTTGGCGCCTTTTAGTTTAACTCAGTCTGTATATGACGAGTTAGCCTAATAGCTCTAAAGTAGTCTGCTTACTGACTTATTAAAGTCCAAAGAAGTTAAGTGTAGATATAGTAGGTGAGTTATGGAAAACACCCTAGCAGAGGGAACATGTTTAGACAGACCTCTTGTTGAGCCTCACTCTCTCCTTGCTCCATTCTTCACTTCGTTTGAACACCACTGATAAGGGGTTGAGAAGCAGCTGCCTTTCTCCTGTGTCCCTATCTTCATCTGTTCTGTCCTTATCACTCTCTTGCCTCGCCTGCCTTCTTTTCCTTCTGCTTGTTTCTCATGGCTTCTTATCCTTTCCATTCCAGTTTATTTTGCACTCTGTCATCAAGACTATAAGCTGTCCTGTATTGAAAAATCCCTCCTGCTATTACAGTAGTCCCATTGTCTGCCAGAGATGATGTCGATTAGTCTGTGCTCCAGGCTTCATGTTAGCCATGTTGGCCTTGAGCTCGCTGCAGTTAAAGAGCAGCTATGTTTTGCTGCCCACCTGTACTGCACATTATGGGTAGTGCTTGAAACTAGGCGAACATAATTGAGAAGAAAAGGTAAAAGTTGCACACATGCGCGCACATGTGAGCTGTATTGAAATAAGATTGACTTGGAGATGCCTGAGAGTGTTGCAGCAATATCTTGGGCCTTGCTTAGCCTAAAGGACAGAATTGAACAAGGGAGGGAGGTGGAGAAGACCGATTCTAAGAATGCAGTTTGCCTTGAGCAGCTTACAAGAATACACAAATAACAAGAGTGGAATTTTGTTTACACCGGTTATTTACACATGATTATTCACTTTCTGCCTTTGTCTTGCTCTCTGCCTGTATCCTTGTAGGCCTAATTGCAATGTTTCTCTTCTGAGTTTATCTCTCTCCCTTTGTATCTCTGCTTTCCCTCATTGCACATTCAGCCTCCTTTGCTCTTCTACACTCAAAGTATTTTTATTATTGTAGTACAGCTACAGCCTTCTTTTAATTCAAAAGCACTGATTGTTTAGAGCATATTGTGCCGTTTAACCTCTATGTGTATCTGTGTTTTAAACTCATATCATAATTTTAAAATAGCAGTGAGTTGATATAGGATTGTAATGTTGACCGTTTTTTAGTATATGCAGCTACTTTTTTAACAGGCTTTGATTACCCTCTAGATGTTACTCTTGTATGATAGTCAGAGTAAGCTTGCATTGTGCTGACAATATTTTCCCTGTTTGTGTTTCAGGTACCCCAGTCAATATGTGTATTGTTCAGAGCAGAGCTTGTCTGGCCAAGGTCAGTCTGCCGGGGACCAAAACCCTGACGGCCAAAAGGAGGAGCAGGACTCCACGCAACACAAGGTGTTTAAAAATCAGGCAGTCACACCAAGCATTGCTTTCAATAAACAGCTGTAATACACTATTGTACTGTAATAAAGAACACATATGTTTGATAAATGATATCAAATAACATTATAGTACCATCAACTTCTTAATGTTGGAAAAATTCTTATCACTCCGCCTAGAAAGTATACTCTAATTGTAATTGCCACAACATGAATCACCCACAGAGGAGCTGTAGCAGTTTACCTAAAACAAAGAAACTGCCCCCCCCCCCGGAGACAGACCCGGAAGGGGAGCTTGCTGGCGAGTGTCTGGTGGCCGGGCCTTGAGCCATAGGGCCTGGTTGGGCACAGGCCAAAATAACTAAATGGAGTCTACATGGTGCCCTGTGGGCCCACCACTTACAGAGATAGGCATTTGGGTTGGGTGCATTGTTGACCAGTTGGCAGATAGGGATCCGGTTTTGCTAACCCCTGGCATAGCAAACCTCTTTGGGGGAAAAGGAACCAGAGGTAGTGCGGGAGGCAGAGTGGTACCAACTAGATATAGTTGGCCCCATCTCTATGCATAGCACTGGGTCTGGAACCTAACTCCTGCAGAGGGGCTGGAATCTTTGGAGGATGAGAGACGTTGGGTGGGTTTCAGGAAACTCCAGCGAGTCCCCAGCTGAGCACTGTTGTATTGAAGTTCCCCCAGAGGACCAGAGGGTTGCTTCTGTGCAACTAGGAGTCGCTGAGAGGTTCTGTCTGGACAGTAGTTGGCCAGTGGTTGGCCCAGGGGTGTCCTGAAGCAGCAGATAGGTACTGGGAGTCCAGAAGGGCAGTGGCTTTTTTGTGGTCGCAGGAGCAAAAACGTTGCTTGGGAAGTCTAGACTACCACGCTTAACCTGCTTCCACCGCCAACCAGCCTCAGATATGCGACAGAAGATGAATGGATATTCAGTGTGGTTAATACTGCTGGTTCATCTTGTTGACCAGCTGTAGGATGAGGGCAGTATTATTAGAATCGCTGCTTGTGGTGATATGTAATAATGCTGAGTTAACAGAACACTAGTGGTAGGTGTTGGGTCATGCACTTTAGTGACCCACTAACCCCTGGTTAGTAGTAGGTCTGAAGAGAGGAGGAGTAGCTATAAATATATGGATTATAGAGGCTAGCCTGTCGATGGTGGGAGTGTGAGGGTATTGCATAATTCTTTGCTGAACCCACCAAGATAGGCGTCATTGAAGAAGAAAATAACATATCAGTTGTTTCACTTTATCTCTTTAAACTTTACAACTGATAATCTTGTATGATTTGAAACTGTGTCAGGATCAGTCACAAAGAGTGAAAACAATGTTCAGTACATGAAGATTAGAGCCACTTCCAGGTAAAAAGTTACTTAGAAAGCAGCCCAGTTACACGTTGTCAAGAACATAGGTTTCTCTATATAATGAATATAGGTTAGGACCAGCCCTGATTAGAGTTCAGAGTACTCAAAGCTTTCCCAATTCTCCACTTTAGTGGCTGGATGGAGAGTAATCCATCTTAAGTCAGTCAACAAGAGTTTGCCTGAGGCGGACTGATGCTGGCTCAGAGCTGGGTTGGGTTAAATATTTGATACCCTCAGCTCTTATGAATGGGCCCTCAAAGTTGCATGTGTGGTAATGTGCGCATGAGTATAAGAATGAACAATAATTTGAGGAAACAAGTGTGTTTTGGTATGCATGTGTAAGCACAGATGAAGGGGGATCATTGTTTGTGATTCAGGCGTGCCAGGGCAGTTCAACAGGCCTGGCAGTCTGTCTTTGGCCTTTATAACAGACTCTTTGTCTGTCAACAAAAGGCTTTTTTCTTTCCACAACCAGAGATCCAAAGACCTTTTGCGTTTGACATTTTCACACAAAAATGCATTTTTTAAACTAAACATAATCCATCAATATTGCCTTTCAAAGAGTTTGAATTGCTGTATTGGGATAGTGCTTCATTTTTAGGCAGTTGTATTTGTATCTGCTTTGTCACCATTTAAGGTCCCTTTTCAACAATGTGGAGTGTGTGATGTGGAATTTTTTTATTTATTTTTTCCCTAGGTGTTGGAAGAATGGACGACACACACATCATACGATATGGGACTGGAGACAGAGAGAGAAGCACTAGAGAAGCTGGCAACACACAACATACACCAAGAACAGGTAACATCATATATTTATCAGTTGTTAAAAATTCAAAACTAAGGCTTCGCAATACTGATCAAATTAAAATTACAATATGCAGGACAACCAAGATGGTGTGAAGCATGAGTAGAAATCAGTGTTTCAACTTGTACTTGTTTTCTTCATCACATACAGCACACTATACAGGATGGTAAATAGGGGGGTGGGAAAGTTGGCCTCTAGTCAAGTTCCACTTATGGCTTTTAAACTTTTAGCTTCAGAGTGCCTCAAAGTCTTTCAGTTCAAATATAATACGCTTGGCTGAATACATGGATATCAATAATGGGAATATATTCTAAGGATTGCTATTGGTGGATTCAGCAGACATTTTGTACACAAGAAAAGTTCGCGTTCACTTTTCATTTTGGGTACTGATGGATTAGGTTTTATATGTGAATGTTTTTCTGTTTTCTCTCACCAGACTGTGAATCTACGGGAAGCTGAGGAGAAGGAGACCAAGCCTGATGCAGAGTCAGACACTCTACCTATTGCTCCTGAGCCAGAACCCCACCCAGACCCCCCAGGCTGATTTGGACCTGCAGACTGACACCCAGGATCATGACCAGGAAGTCCCTGTGTCATCCACTCCAGAACCAGTTCCAGCACAGGGCCAAGTGTCCACAGATGCCCCAACCCCAGCAGAGATCTTCAGTGATGCCCCTGCTGCACAACCCAGCCTGGACTCAAATCCAGCCACATCCCCAGATGAAGCTGAAAACAAACCTACCTCACAGAGTGCCGGCCAGACCCACACAGGGTAAGCTCAGCTTCATTTCCTTATTCCAGAGACCTGGTCTCTGGCATTAGAAGTTGGCTATAACCACAGAGAAATCTCATTGGTAAACTAACTAACTAAATTATAATCTTAGATGGCTAAGAAAATGTTTCTCTGGTTAAATGGTTAAAGCCAATTTCAACCCAGTCCAGGTATGATATAGGTAAAATTGTTTTCCAGTGCTTGCTGCCATTGGCGTACCTGACCTTGCACATTTTATTTGATATTTTTGTTGGTTTGCTTTTGTTCCCATTAGTTGTTTTATTTTGTTTTAAATTGAACCACTGTTAATGACTGATCACAAACTGAAAGAGAAACTCAAATGAGAGCTGGTCTGACATCCTGGATATTTCAAAGTCCCGTTTGGGGAAGTGGTGGCCAGTGTCATGAAGCTACATGGAACTGCTCATGTTCTCAGAAATTTTGTCGAATGGGCTTTGAAATGGAAGTTTGTGGACACTGTGGAAGATCAACTGTGTGAACTTTGGACTTTTGACCAAGATTAGTCTGGATATCCCCTGGGTTGAACATTCAAGAAGAATATATACATCCAACATTTCCATTCAGCTCCTTTCTCAAAGCAGCTGTCGACATCAGGACATTTTAAGACATGCACTTCAACTGCCCCACCAGCGAGTGACCTCTCCATCCCCTTTGTCCAACCACTTCTTTCTCTATTCACTCTTTCTCCTACCCTCTCTCTCTCCTACCCCCTCTCTCTCTCTCACTCTCTCTCTCTCTCTCTCTCTCTCTCTCTCTCTCTCTCTCTCTCTCGCTCGCTATTGGTGTCATTTATCTCCTCCTCCTCGCCCCCTTCCCTACTTGTCTCCTCTCTCCCACCCCATCCTCCTCTCTCTACCCTCCCCAGTGTATGGAGGTGTGGTAAACCCCATGTCCTTTCTTTCCCTCAGTGCAGTGCGGGTTGCCAGTGCAGGAGATGAACTCCCAGTAGACAACTTTGTCTTTGCTGAGCACTCTGATTCACAGTGTGTTGTCATTCCCCCCGAACTGGCAACCTGTGAAAACTCTCCTTTTGGCAGCCCTCTCTTCAGGTGAGTTTCTAACCCCCAGAAGCCAATCAAAGCACAGAGACAGGTAATCAAGTCACAAGCTACACCTCTCTGCTGTGCGCAACCGTCGACCGCTGGCCTTGCTCTCAACTTACTTCTGCTTTTTTTTTTTTTATTTCCTTTTTCCATCGTTTTGCCTGCTCACAACCAAGGACTGTCAATGCTTTCAAATAAATTATATATTTTTTATGTTTTGCATCAGTACTTATTTGTGTTCTCCACCCCTCTTTCCTCCCCTCTCCATTACCTTCTCTTCTCTCCAATTCCTCCTCGGCCCTGTTTCTGTGCTATAGTGTGGATGAGGCTGGCATAGAGGACCAGCAGTCAGCCCAGAGCCACAGCTCTGGTCCTGAAGCAGAGGTCCAGACTACTCCAGGCCAAGTGGACCAGGAACAACAGCAGCAGCAGCAGCAGGAGCTGGAGGATGGGCTGTCTGATTTGGACCTGGAGGGAAACACTTCCCAACACCACCAAGAACAGAAGGTCAGCAACTCATGGTTCCTCACATGTATCAGTATTACAAAATCAATAGACAAACAATGTTAAACAGAAATACAACATCCAGAGTTTGAGGATTATCAGTGCAGCGTTAAAAGTAAGTATAAGTAAAAGCAACACAACGATGTGGAGGTCCGCAGAACATCCACGGTCCTGTTTGGAGCAGAGTGGATGTTCACGCTTTTATTTTCAGTGCTGCTAAATGTTTTTTTTTTCTTAATAATGGGTATTGTAGTATCACACTATTCTCCACAGTTTCCATTCTCAGTGTTAAAGCACACATACACCACAGTGGGATGAAAGTATGATTGGCGGCCCAAGGGTGCTTTTTATTGTACGATCAGTCCTCTGTTCGCACATTAGTCAAACTTTAGGCGCAACCGCAGTTAGTTTGCCACAAAAGTTATACATATTCAGTGTGCACAGCTGCTCAAGCAAAGGGCAGCTTTTGAGGGTTTCAAGTGGCAAAATTGCTTTCAGTTACTATTTTCGTGTTTGAAGGATCATAAAAGACGAGTGTACCCGGGGGAATTTAATTATTATCAGGGGGGTGGTGTGAATTGTGTATTTGTACATATTATTGTATGTGTTTTGAAGAACAGATCTGGTGACTAATCTGTATGTGACTGGAAATGACTCCTCCCAGAACTGTTGGGGTGTTTACATAAGAGGCCGTCTGAGTTAGTGGATTTTTAGGATCAGACTCTTTCGTGAGGTCCAAAAGGCTGCTTATATAATCCATCAAAATGTTATTCACAGCCCAGTGCATCTTAATGCTTTAGTGGCCAGGGGGTAGCTCACTACCATGGACTGTGGATGGGACTCTCTTGATTGTTCTAACACTCACTATGCGTGTATGCCAGTGGCTGGTCATAGCATGCAATTCATGTAGTGGATCACTGATTCCAGGATATAATTAATCTTGTTAGTCATGTTTAGCAATAGTAAGTTCGTTTACAATATGCTGTGCTCTTGCATATCAAGATATAAGCATATTAGGAGATTAGGTGAGCTAACTGTCACTATGGGTCTGTGTGTTTCAGGCAGGAGATGCCAGTACTGCCAGGGAGACTGATCCATCAGTGCCCAGCAAAGAAGACATCCCCACCTTCGACGAGTGGAAGAAACAAGTCATGGAGGTGGAGAAAGAGAAAAGTAAGTGCATACATTATTAAAAACACACATTTAGAGATGTATGCACAAATGGAAAGAGAGACATCAGATCAACAACTAAGTGCAATGTACCGTAAGTATATTTGCATCCAGAGGCTTGCCTCTCCTCCATTGTCTACCACCTCTACCCCTACCCCCTTTTCTCTTTTGCTTCCTTCCTCATGTTCTATTCCTGTCTATCTCTCTCGCCATCTCCCTCTCTGTTCTCTCTTTCTCCCTGTGCACATGTGCAATGGTCAGCAGAGCGTGTGTTTGTGTGTTGCATAACCTCCATACTTGTTCCTCTCAGGCAACACGCTTTTTTTTCCAGTGTCTGTAATCGGCCTAATGTAACACTCGATCTCTGTCCAGGTCAGTCTCTCCATACCTCAACCAGCGGCAGCCCCCATCCAGTGAAGAAGGTCCAGAAAAACTTCAAGAATAACTATGCCTCTGTGGAGTGTGGTGCCAAGATTCTCTCTGCCAACAATGAGGCCAAGGTTGAACACACATTACCCCTGTTGCCTACACACAAACACATACACTTACACAGCTAAAGATATAGATGTCATGTTGCATCAGCAGATGGATAAAACCTGGTTCAAAATGTCTTTCATAAGATGAAAGGCATGACTTTGGACAGATGTTTAGTCTTACATTAAACAAAAAATAAATCATTAAATGAAATCAGAAACTTGTGATGATGATGGTGGATGCTAATTCACTCACTCTTGTTCTTCTGTCTCCTTTTCAGAGCACTTCAGCTATTCTAAGGGAGAACATGGACCTTTACATGTTAAATCCTTGCAGCAACAAAATCTGGTGAGTGCAATGACACACAGTGCTGGTACACAGTTTGTAACATAGCATGGTTTTAGATAATACGTTGCATGAGTTTATCTTTTTTTTTATAAACATTCTGTTTACCTCTCTTCAGGTTTGTGATAGAGCTCTGTGAGCCTATTCAAGTCAAGCAGCTGGACATTGCTAACTTTGAGCTCTTTTCATCAACACCTAAAGACTTTTTAGTCTCCATCAGTGACAGGTATACTCACTTTGATTATTGTATGTTCAAGTTGGCTGTATATATTGTTACTAGAATTGATTGACATGTTCTCATAGACATGTAGTGGGTTTGTGATAAAAAGTATTTGGGCTATGTCAGAGTATGTGCAGGCCTCTAGTCCAACTTTCAGGGATCACTCATGTTAAGAGATCATCAAACTGGCTGGCACAAGTTCACCACCTCCTCAACTAGTACCATATAAAACCACACAAGGACCTGGACTGGTTAAAATCCTCCTCTTCCTCCTGTATAATCAGCTCCAACTTTAATGCTGCCTGAGCTGGTGTTTCCTTTTGTTTTGGATTTCACCATCCAGATTTATTTCCAGCATCATCTCACACCACAACTCATAAATTCCCCCCTCTGGCATGTAAGGACAAACATCCAGTCACATGGAGTACAGTGGCATTTGTGCCCAGCCTTGTCTTTGAAGTATATTGTAGCCCTCACACACAGGTATCTTACCTTTCCCTTGTTCTGTCTGCAGATATCCTACCAACAAGTGGGTAAAGCTGGGTACTTTCCATGCCCGTGATGAGCGCATTGTCCAGAGCTTCCCACTAGATGAACAGCTGTATGCTAAATATGTGAAGGTACTGCTTTTTCCTTCATCCTGCTATGATAGTACACTTATTTTTCTAGGAGAGGAAGGATAAACAATTCATGTATTCATTCTTAGTAGTATATTACAGTTCCTAGTTGATAAATATACACAGATGCATTCATACACATAGGCTAAAGCTGTATTTTAAGCTCAGGGGACCCTCATATGACTTCATGGTAAGTCAGCAATGCCGTCAGCGCTGCCTGTAACCCCCTCCCTTGACTGGATGAAGAAATGTGACTCTGTGAATGACTGTGAGGGGGTGTGTGTTCATGACAGAGTTTCATTTGTAAAAACTAAAGGGCAGATACACATTACTATATCGGGAAAATTATATTTGTATTTTGTTTGTCACAACTCATCGGGCAAGTTGGCCCAAGTCTATTGTTGTCTGGGCCAAATGCTGCTGACAGCCTGGAATTTAAATCATCAGTGTGTTATGTTAAAGGATTACAATTGTTTGCCTTCTGCTCAAATGACTTACAGTTGTTCCCACTAAGATTCATTTAAACTTTAGACTTTTTTTTTTCTTTTAGCACTAAATGCACATCCATTTGTGTGACAGGTGTGAGGAGGTGAAATGAACTGACAGGAAAATAGTGTGGCTTAAAGCCCCCTATAAGAAACAGTGTTTTCTTAGTCTTTGTTGATTCTGGCGGCCCCTGCGACAGTGTTTCCACCGCCTCATTTCATTGATTGAATCTGACCGAATCCGACCCGGTGGCAGGCATTTAGAATAACTATCTCCTCACTGATGGTCTGGTTTGTTTCATATAGAGGCACCGGTATTAAACAGAGACTGTTTCATAACCATTTAAAAGATTCCTGTACTATCTTTAAATTGTAGCATAAATAAAACAGGAAGGTTGTCCTTTGATTGACATCCATTTCTCTTTTTGGTTCAGTTGCACACATATCCTCCCTGTTGCTGAGTGTGTTGTCATGACAATGTGCGCTCCATTCTGACTGACTGAACACAAAAACTGCTTTTAGTGAAAATGAATTATATGTAGGTTTTGTCTTTTTAAGTTCTAAGCTTCAGTTATTGCTGAGCCCATTCAGTTTCCAGAAATGCTATTGTTCATAAGACAATACTAGACTACATTAATTGTAGTGTTGATGTTAAAGTATCTGTGCTTTTCTGAACTGTCTCTCTCTTCACACTTCTACCCTCAATGTTTCTCACTAAATATTCACTGTGCAGAGTTGCTCGGATGATTATCCCTTTTATGTTGTGACTGTGGGTGTTAAGTGTGGGAGCTTACTGTGATTCATGTGCTCTGTTATGAAATGATTGTGTTTTTATTATATAAACTGACTTTTGTCTAGTTTCAGGATTATCTGCTTTGGTTAACACTCTGATCTAAGCAGCTGAAAACTGTTATGTCTTGCTCTGATGTTTCTGTGCTGAGCTTGTCTGCCTGTCTGTCTCTCTCTCTCTCTCTTGCTTATGCTATTCTTTCTAGCTGCTCGTTAGAAACCTCTTTATAGTATTTTGCCTGTGGACTGTTACAGAACAACGATCCAGCGTATACCAGCAATATGTTTGTCTTAAGACAGAGCCAGATTGTAAGCAAATGCCTGACTTGCTTGTAGCTTGAATCAGTCCTCACTGATTTCTTTCTCTTGTTTTATTTCTCTCTCCTCCTGTCCTTCTCCTGTCTTCCTCTCGCATCAGATGTTCATCAAGTACATAAAGGTTAGCACTCTTCTCTCTCTGAGGTTGTGATGTGCTGTAAAATGCACTCTTGTAATGTTGTCATACACTTTAATGGGTGAGCTTTGGCACAGTTTCATCTTTAATGCATGTGGAAGATATTAAAAAAGTAAAACATTCACACAAACCATATTGTCAACGCTTGGGAATTCTAGTTAATACTTTTACATGTCTGGTGGTATTGTGGGTTTATGGAGTGGGTGCACATACATTATTGGTATTGGCACTGTTGTGGATGATATTTCCAGTTTAACAGGTTGTCCATTTCCCCTGCAGGTTGAACTCCTCTCCCACTTTGGATCAGAACACTTCTGTCCCCTCAGTCTCATCAGGTAAGATAGAAATGAACTCTTCCCAAATTCCCTTACTCTTCTAAGGCGTCTCTTTTTGATTTTCTGAATCTGAATTAGCATTTAATAATACAAAGGTGAAGATCTTATACACTGCTCTATACAAAAGGTTACTGCCCTTTCTTCTTAAGGTAATTGAAACACTGGTAGAGAAGAGGAAATTGAATTTCTCTTTACTTAAAACCACATACTGCTTTATTTAGCCAGAGCCAACAATACAGTTTTCAATGACATTTCAATGAAATGTACTATACACAAATGTTTTTTTTATCCTGAAGATTGACTCCTGTGTCTCAGCTCATGTGATACTGTATTATAATTACAGGGACTATGCTGTATTTTGGGAAGTCAGTCTCTATTAGATTATACAAGAAATGTTGATATTTTGCCGTCTTATTCTCTACCGCTCTTAGTGGTTGTTTGCCGTACGCAGTCATCAAATCCAGAATGGCGTCATTGAGATTACTAATGCGTGTGTTTCACCTGTACATATGAACTCCAAAGTTCAAGCCATGTCTCGTACACAGACATCTTATCTCCAGCTATGGAAAGCTGACCCTTCTCCGAAACCATCTCCCCCTTCTGTGTAGTGATAACAACCCTTGTCCTGTTCTGTAGGTGGGTTTGTTTGTGTAACACAGTATGTATGTGTATTTTGTGTAGGGTGTTTGGTACCAGCATGGTGGAGGAGTATGAGGAGATAGCAGATTCCCAGTACCCTTCAGAGAGACTGGAGTACTTGGATGAAGACTATGGTAAGATGGTTTCCTATAATGTCTTTGAATGGGAATTGTTAAAAGACATTGTCCAAACCTCTTTTTCAACATCAGTTGCAAAGTTACCATTTTTAACTAATGAAGATGAATGCACGTATTAACATGAACATCATTTTAAGCTGCCTCACATGACAGAACAATACATGCATGCAAATTAGACAAACAAAGGACCCTGAGAAGAGAGTCATATTACATTCTTGCTCTTCAACCTAGTCACCAAGTACCTTGGGCTAGAGTTAACTATTAACATCAGCTGACCTTTTGCGGCTAAGTTTCCTTCATCAACTCTGCAATTCTGGCAGCGTTTTGTGATATTTTATCCTATAAAATAATAACATTTGTTTACTCTTGAATGTGATTACATTTTATTTATTGTATGTATTTTGCTAAATATAACCTGTAGTATGTCCTTTTCTACAGACTATCCACCCGGCTACCAACCATCAGAAGACAAGGCCTCTAAAAACCTGCTTGGCTCAGCGACCAGTATGTACATGCATATACGGCTACATTAACAGAGATTAAATGAAAGCAAATAAGCTATGGCAATATGATATGTTATCAACAGAAGATTAGATCCATTGTGTGTTTCCTGTTTACATTATTATACGTGGATAACGGAATAAAGGATAGTTAAGACATAAACACAGTAACACATTACTCAGGATTTTGAAGGGTTAGAAGCAGGTACGTTTCAAGACTTTTACTTTCATAAGCCCAAGTAGTGAGTGCTTCCTCATTCTGTTGAAGTTTGTGGTGGCAGGGTGTAGTTTGGGGATTTTAAATCCTAAAATGTTAACTAAAATGGTCTGGTGAATCTGATAGTGTTTATGTAAAAGAAAATACTGACCACTATACAATGCAACTGAACTAAGGCAGTGTTGGATATTCCCTCAGTTTCCTAACCTACTTGGTAACACACATACTCATAGATATAGACTGTTTGGGTTTCAGAAATGTTGCAGCTTGCACTAGGCTTTTTAAACCACACACACACATGCACTAACACTCTGGTGCCCCTCTGTCTCCTGATTTAGCAAAGGGAGGACTGGTGCACACACAAATACTGCACACACACACACAGGTTCAGGGCTCAAACCATAAAACCATGAAAAACAGCAGAGGGGCACATCAGGTTTTTTTTTTTTTTTTTTTACTTTAGATGGGCAGGCTCAGAGGGTAACTGAACAATGGGGGCTGAAGGAAAGCCTGAAGGGAAAGTTGGAAAAGTTCAGAGTCAGGGAAAAAGGAACAGCAAAGGCCAAAGCCTGTGGTTTCATTGATATGTGTTTGGCTGCAAGCTGCTGTCTGTCTACTTATTTACCAGAAACCTCATGCCTTTCAAAATAACTGTAGTGTGTGTTTTTTTTCTTTTCCTTTAGATGCCATCCTAAACATGGTAAACAACATTGCTGCTAATGTGCTGGGTGGCAAACCAGAGCTGGAGGGTGGAACAGCAACAGGAGGTACTCATCCCTCATGTACTTAATGCTTCCTCCTCCTTTTTTCCAATTCTGTTTCACCTTTCATGTCCACAAGTCCCTCTTGTAAATGTAAAACGCTTCTGATTTTCCACCTACATCCTCTCCTCTCATCCTAATGTAGGAAGACAAAAATCAATACCACTGTGGTCTGTGACTCAAGAGCTGTGTTTTTTGGATGCTGCATTTAACCCAGTTTCTTTACTTTACTTAGTTGTTAGTTTCATTGGTATGAACATTAGTTTTTCTCTTAAGAATGTTTGCTTTAGTGCTTTTAAACAGCTTTGCACAAAGTTCCTTCTTTTCTTTTTTATCCTTTCTAAAGTGAAATATATGCAGCATTCCTGAACTATAGATTGTAGGAGAAATTGCCTCATGCTGAGTTAACTAAACAATGTATTTTTAAGCTTTCTTCTGCGTGAAGTGAAATGGAAAGAGTACTGAAATCCTGCCGATCAGCAAGCCGTTTCAAAGACTGTAGATTTCACAGATGCTTGACACACAGTAACAGGCTTACTTAAAGTTTGAGACGAAACAAATCCATCATTATTACGTTACTGACCAAGCCTCTGTGCGTGTTATCTTTTATTTGAAACGTAAGTCCTTGACATTTGTTTGTATTCTCTTTAAGCAGCCACACCTTCAGGGCATTATGAAGCATAACTGGTTTATCCATATAAAACCATTGATCTTCTTTCCGATTAGCTCTCATTAAAAAAACAGTTTGTTTAGCATGAGTCATTCATCCAGTTTTGATGTCATTACATACGTGTTCTTTTCATTAACTACATATGTACCTTTTTTGAGAATATTACAGATCACTAGTCAAGGAAACACGCTTATTCACATTTCACAGTTTTAAAAATTACATTTGCAGAGAGAACTACTATACTGTCCCTGTTTTCCTACTCTCTGCTCACACTCTGCCCTTTTTCTCCCTTACTCTGTTTTTAACTGCCAGCCTGCCTGTCTTCCCACATATTGTTTAGATTAACTGCTTCTAAAACTAGGTCACATTATTTCCTCCTCTGAAGTGCAAGCATATGCATAGCCTTGAATGCTCATGTCTATATATGCTGAGGGAGCCAGATGTTTTTGTGGCTTTTGGCAGGAGTTGTCCAGCAGCATTTCAGCATAACTATCTGTGTTTTACTTCTTGGCAGAGAAGTGTAGATGAATTAGGAATGAGGGGGGCCTATGACGCCAAAACTGTTCCTCACCCAGTTTACCCCACAGAGAGTTGATTCAATATGACTCCTATTCAATTTTTCCCTGTGGCTGAAAAGAGAAAACTCACAGATTCCACCTAGTTTTTCTATTTTGTTTATGCTCTTATACTTCTATACTATACTATTCTATACTTCTATATATATATATATATATATATATATATACTTCTCAGTTGTTGCAAAGTTGCTCGCCCCTAAATCATTTTGTTGTAGTTAAAGGAGATTTGCAAATCAAATGAGAACACTGCAAACACAGCTGTATATTTTTATTAATATAACTGCCACAAAAGGTGTTTTTTGTTGACAGAGGAGAAAACTAAAACCTTTTTTTTTTTTTTTTTTTTTTTTTTTTTTACTGCTGCTCTTTTAAGTTACAGTACGGATTTCCATTTACACCCGCGGAGTAAGCAGGGAGGAGAGATTGTGGGGGAGAAATCGGTTCTAACTGGACTAGACTGGTTCTCAGTTTTTCTGACTTTCCCAAACATGGGCCTGCCTGCCACACTGAGCAGCAAAGAGGCTCTCTGTTCTACTGTTCTATGCTCCTAAAGCCACATGGGGTTTGGCAATTTTAAACAGTAACCACGTGTTATTGAAGGCCTGTTCTGATTTTAACGAAGAGTTTGCTAATTGTTGTGTTTTTATCTAAATGTCAGGTAATACAACAGCAGAGGTGGTTGAAAAGAAGGGGAGCACAGAAGTTGCACCTAAACCAGCTGACCCACCTCTTGACTCTGCAGTGTAAGACCAGTTAAAGACCAATTATGACCATTATTAAAACCATTAAACCATTATGAATGTAAATTGATGAAATATGTCAAGTATGAGTTAGAATACAACTACATTTCTGTGTTGTTCGATCACTTTTCTGCTATATCCCTCCAAAAAATCACAAGTTCTGTTAATAGGCTTTAAATTTGTATCTGTGTCTTTCCTCCAGACTGGAGCCTGTAGAGCCAGAACACCCTGAAACCCAGGAAGACTCTAGTGTCTCCAGTGAGCCTTCCACACCTTCCCCCTCACCACCTGACTCCCATGACGACAGACAGATTGTCACCCTGGTAGAAGAGGAGGAGGAGGAGGAAGAAGAGCCCAGACAGTCTACTGTCACCCTGATGGAGGAGGAGGGAGAGGAAGAGAAGAGAGAGGAGGAGACGAGGAGGGAGGCAGACAGGAACCACTGGGAGAACCAGACTTACTGTCCCTTTTCCTCCTTCTCCTCCCTGTCTCTGTCCTGCATGGCCACCCTGCCAGAGCTGCTCCATCGCTGGTGCTCCGCCAGGCTGGCCAAGGAGAGACTCCGCAGCATCAGGCGGAGGCAGCTTCACACACAGAGGCAAACTGATACAAATATCCTTTCCCTCACACATACACCTCCCTCAATCCCCACCCCTGTTCCCACACCTCTCAAAGAAGCCCTCCCCCTCACAGAAAAAACTCCAGAGCCTGAGGTGCCTGTTAAGGCCCAAAATGAGGGCAAAATCCTGGGTGAGGCACACACTATGCATCCCAACACTCTCACCCCTGACACACACACTCCAGAGCTCAACATCCTTCTAGAGCCTAGTAGAACCGCCACCATACCCTCTCACAGTTTCTCAGACTTGCATAGCTCCCTGACATGGCCTACCCCCACCCACGAAGAGAAGCTTCCTCCCATTAAGGATGCAGCCTTGGACCCCGTCCCCACTCCCCCCCTACAAGCCGTCTCTATCCCAGAGACGCAACAGGCCAGCAGTGCCACCCCTATCCTTACTGACAGCTCTGGCCCACAGTCTGTAGCCTCTGAGACAGCCTCTCCTACTGTTGTGGTTCCCCCTGTCAAGGAGCAGCCCGTTCAGCCTCTTCCCACTGCATCAAGGCCCGATGACCATATCCCCCCTCCCACTGAGCTGCCATCACCTCTCCCACTGACAGACACTCACACAGACACGGTAAAGTTAGATGCAGACAGTGGGGACTCACAGAGACACAGTGTGCAGGCTTCTCAGAGTCACGGGGAGCAGGGGGACTCTCTCACTCACACTGGGGAGCCCCATCGGGTGGAGGACACCGTGGACGAGGACCTGTTAAGCACCAACGGGAATGGGAATGTCCACCGGACAGCTACAGACTTTTATGCAGAGCTGCAGAATGGAGGTGATTACAACGGCGGGGCAATGAACGGTGTGTTATTGAACGGGGGAGGGGTGCATGGCTCCAGCCAGAAGGAGAGTGTGTTCATGAGGCTAAACAACAGGATCAAAGCCCTGGAGATGAACATGAGTCTGTCCAGCAGATACCTGGAGGAGCTCAGCCAGAGGTAAACCACTAGAGTTATGACTAGCTAGCACTTCTTTCAAATTTGTTTTTGATTACTTTTTAGATTGAAACGACCAGGGTCATGAATAAAAAACATTTACACTGTATAGGTTGAAATTTTTGCATTTGTGTTGCTCAGATACCGTAAACAGATGGAAGAGATGCAAAGAGCGTTCAATAAGACCATCATCAAACTGCAGAACACCTCCCGCAGTGCTGAGGAGCAGGTCTGTTTACATGAAGGCAACTGGAGCAAGACAAGTTTAAGCATGAATACAAAAAATAGTTGTGTGTGTTTGTCCAATTGTTGTCTGATTGTATTGACACACTGGTGCATTTCAGGACCAGAGGCAGACAGATTCCATCCAGGTCCTACAGAGCCAGCTGGAGAACGTCACTAAACTGATGCTCAATCTCACCACCACAGTGAGCCAGCTGCAGAGAGAGGTGACATACAATATCTCATTGATTGTATGGATGATTGGAGGTTCACTGCTATTTTTCAACCAGTTCAGAAATAATGTCTGTTTGTTGTATTCGTTATGAGAGCTGACCAACACACTATGCAACAAAGCTAATATGTGCACAGTGTTGAGTTTAGCGACCTCTGGGAGAAATAATCTGTATACAGGGTGTTCCTGATGGATAGTGTGGATCTATTAACACCACAGTGCTTGTTTGGAGCACAAAACTATTCGTCAAACAGACTTTTCCTTTTTTCTGCTGAACTACCCATGCCTAGCACAAACCAGAGTCACTGCTTGGAATGCATAAGGATCTCAGCAACAAGGTGTTTTGGAGGAAATTGAACGGATCACATGGAAATGAGTCTGCACAGCACATTAGTGAATTTGAACAGGGAGATACAGATATGATAGCCGGAAGAACATTGACAAATTCTACTAATTGTGGCAAATATGTGACTCAAGCTCAAGCAAAAAGTACCACATTACTGTTTCCGCGGTTTCTCAATTTAGGGCACAGTATAAAATGCACAACCTGCTTCTAACAAATGTAATAGTTAATTCAGACTTTGTCATCTTAATGTGGGGAAAGACCTTAATATGTACTGGATTCAAAACCGTCATGTTTCAAATGTACATGTTTTTAAGACTTAAGTTGTGTGGCTTTTTCTGTGCAGGTATCCGACCGTCAGAGCTACCTGGTGGTTTCTCTGGTTCTGTGTCTGTGTCTGGGTCTCCTGCTGTGTCTGCAGTGCTGCCGCAGCTCCTCTCCCAGCCCCAACACCAACGCTGCTGTCCTTCCCAAGAGCAACCACTACCCCAGCCCCAAGAGGTTAGTCACGTGCACTTTTTAATCCACTGAGTTATTTATAAGATAATTGTTCTACCATCTGTCATTATGATCCCCCTACACCCGGTTTTATGGCGCTGCTTTTGAATAGAACAAAATTGGACCACTTCCTTACTTGTTATCTGCTTGCTTAATGTTGTCACTCTTGTCCTGCCACTGACTACAGGAAGCTGGAGCAGTGATAATGTAAAAGAGCACTTTATAAATGTGAATCTGATTTTTGTTATCAGATGCTTCTCCTCCTATGATGATATGAGCCTAAAGCGCAGGGTGACCTGTCCGCTTGTTCGCTCTAAGTCGTTCCACTTTTCCTCTACAGAAGGTAACCAAAAAACGCACACACGTACACACACTATACACAAGTCTCTCCTCTGATTTCCTATCTATTGTGTTTCTCCCTCCGCCTTTGTCATTTAAACATAAGCAGCACTACAGTCATAGCTCATTGCAAAGATCATGTTATCGCTACTGTAGACCTTTTCAGGCTAGTTGCATCAGACCGCTGCAGCTCTTACCACACAACTGTCCACATCCAACTACTATCTAGTCTTTCTTCAATCTTTCCAACACTCATTCTGTCTATATCTCCGCTATTTCCTCTCACACATGTTACCATGCTTAGTGGCTGACATCCCTGGTGTTGCCAGCGCCTCCAGCGAAGAGGCTGGTACAAGAAATAAAAGAATGTAGTCTTTAAAGTTGTGAAACTTAAAACTCCCCCTGCTGTTCATTATCCCTTGTGTGTGTGTGTGTGTGTGGGGTGGGGGTGTGTGTGGGTGGATGGGGGGTGGGGGGGTGCGCCCTTGAGGCTGAGAGGCTGTCATTGCCAGCTTGTATCCACACATGCGGGCTTAAGGAGTATAATAATAGAGCATGATGCTTTGCTGACTCATGGTAGACATTTGCAAGTAGTAATCGATAATAAAATAACATGCTTTTGGTGTGATTTTAGCTTAATTTTAGTTTTAGTCAAATTGTGTTATCTTCTCTACAGACATTAAGCCATGATTAGAAAATTGATTTTTTTTTTTGCCTTTGCATCTTTAATAAAACTACTTGCAAGGTCACTTCATGCTTGTTACATGTATGTATTCCTGTTTTCCCATTCCATCATTAACCTGGCCCCTCTCTCCCCTCCCCAGTAGGTCCAGATGACTTGTACATTGTAGAACCTCTAAGGTTTTCTCCAGAGAAAAAGGTACAGTGTCTGTTCCAACTGCTGCTGTTGGCTGTGACGGCCGCCGTACTTTTTAAGTGCTGTGTGTTTCCTAGTGTCAGTCAGTCTGTGCAATACATGTTAGAGCAGGGCATGTCTTCTTCGTCAGTCACTGATTTCTGATCTCTGTGCAAGTAGCCAAGAGAAGGGAGCAGCTGAAGAGTGTTAAGACTCAGCCCACTCCAAGTACCTGTTAACCACTTCTTTGCTGACACCGGGCATATTTTCTGACTTATTTATTTATTTAGATAAGTAGTTTTCATGAATATTTGTTTCTTCCGAATCCTATATTCCTTCATTCCCTGTTAAACTTTCCCACCCTTTGATCCATTTGTGTAACCTCACTGTCTAGCACAAAAGTGGTTAATATGGCTTTATATTATGAGATGTGTCTTTGCTTTCTCTGCATGTTTTTTAATCATTTGCTCCTCCTGTCTTATGTTCTCCCTGTAGAAAAAACGCTGCAAGACAAAGTCGTTGGACAAGGTTGAGATTCTGAAGGCATCTGATCCTGATGCTCCACTCACAAATGGGGGTATTAAGTGCAACGGTTTCGAACCATGCCTCCCTGATCCGCCGCCACCACCCTCTCCTCCTCCGCCTCCTCTTCCTCCTCCTCCTCCTCCTCCTCCTCCTCCTCTCCCACTGCCTCTCCTTCCCTCTGCAGAGGAGGTGTCATCACTGCCCACTTGCACCTCCAAGGAGTTCCCCTCGGAGACCAGCAGCTGCAGCTCATCCACCCACTCTGAGGAGTCCTACACAAGCCGCCTCCCCCCTCCCTCTCCCATCTTCGCCTCCACTGGTCTGTGCAACGGCCACGAGTCCTTGCCTTTCCCTCTCCAGCAGCCTCCCACCATGTCCCGTCAGGAGAAGCGCTCGATGAAGCGGCGAAAGTCGCGGCAGACGGAGCTGCAGTTCCCTACCATGCCGAAAGGGAGCGTCGCTTCTCTGCCCAGCCTGCAGCAGCTTATGAAGGGAAACAAGGAGATCAGTGTCGGGACCATCGGGGTGACAGCCGTCACCGGACATGTCTGAATACTCATACTTTTACACAACTTTCTATTCACACACACTATATGGTAGCAGACTTGTGTAGTAAGGAGATGAGGTCTTACTGCATCCCAAAGAACCATATTTCCCGTGAGCACCCAGGCGCACCGTGGAACTGAAGTGGCTATGGCAGCAGTAGCTCCACATCATCCAGTCCTTATCCACTCCTGTCAAAGACCTGTTTACGGTTATGTGCCTTTATATCTGTTCTAGACCTTTTAATGCTAAAAAAAAACGTGACATTAAATGAATTGATGATTTGGAAAGAGAGAGACACCGTGGTGGGGAGTGAAACATTACTACAAGTCAAATCCATTGAAGTGTGTTCAAGATGTTTTCTTTTTTCTTTTTTGTACCGGATAAGCACATTGTTTCATGACAGTTGAGAACCAGTGAGCTTTTATCCCCACTCTGAGCACAGTGAGGAGAGGTCCTGGCCTCAACTCTACGTTCCTTCACCTCCGGGAACATCACAAAGTATTAGGCTGCTCTTTTGGATGAAATGTGTCGTTATGAGAGAACTGCAGAGCATGACAAACTACTCCTCTTATCCTTATTTCCTTCTGTCTTCTATCACCATCATTTCATCCATTCTCTCTTTGTATTGCCTCCTAACATGACTGCAGGCATTTGTATGGGACCAGAGTGTAAAACTTACATTGTACACCAGACTCTCCATTTCTCTTCCTCTGTCTCTGTCAGTCTGTTCCAAACCAATCACCAGAGCTGAATGAAGAATATCATTTTCGCATGGGGTGAAATAGTCCGAATGTGTTTGTCCTTTCAGTTTAGTTTCCTATTTAACCTAATATGACAAATACAATTGTAGCAGTTTGTAGATCCTTTGAGTTCAGAATGAAACTGTCCCCACTCACTTAGTTTGGGCTGAGCCTGAAAAGGTTGCTCACACACACTAAAGTAAGAGAAATTGCACTGTTACAGTAGATATTGTGACTGCGAGGAAGGTAAAATTGGTTTAAACAGGCTAGAGGCAAGCCATGAGGTTTTTATTGTCTTTTTCTGCTATATTTTTATTGTTTTTTCATCCATAACTGAGCCATGCTCCTCTCTTAATGTTGCTGGTGTGGTTTGTTTGAATTATTCTCACATCCAGTATGGAGGCAAAAGTTTCCTGTTCAGGGTACAGTGTACTGTAGGAGCACATTGGGTGGCAAAGCTGAATGTTTACACTTCCGTCACACACGCATATCCTACTGGGACCCTGCAGCTGAGTCTGACAGGCCAGTTTTATTTATCTATTTATTTATTTAAATGACTACAGATTTTTCTAATTAAGGCACTGGCTTGCCAGTCTCCCAATCCTGCAGTGTCACAGTAGTTTATCCATGTGAGTATGTTACATAGAAATATTACAGTGCAATACACTACGTATTTACACATGACCATGGTGGATTGCTAAACAATTTTTTTTTTTGATATATTTTAGTTTAGGCTCTGACAATATAACGGATCCTAATTCTGTTTGCCTCAGCCTGAAATATCAGACAAGTACGATAGCAGTCACATGTCCTGCCGCAACAAGATAATCGAGTGTTGATTTAGAATAACTACAGGCTTCTTGGGATCATCACACTGCTGCTTTTGTATATGTTCAGAGCTGCTGGGTGGTTAAAAGTAGTGGAAAGGGCTAGACTGAGTGTTTATTATGGTCCTGTCTTCTGTCTGCTTGTTTCAGCATCGTTGTTGGTTCGCTGACGAACCGATTTTAACTCACCCCATTGAAGATTTCATGACTCACCTACGTTAACATCCAGTTTAATGTTTAATAATCTATAGGGAGTTCCATATGTGAAAGGGGGTATCCATTTGTTGCTTGTTTTTCGATAATAAAACGCAAATGCATTTTCTTTATGTAGAGTATGCGGTTTCTGACTGGCTCTGTGTGGTTGTACATTTTGACAGAGACTGAGAATATTCTTCAAACTATACTCTCCCAAAAGAGCATCATTACATCTTCTGACCAGCTTCTACAGCTCCTGTTTGTCTTTACATATCTTTATCCACCAAGGTCACCTTTGACCTCCTCACCTTACATTGCACGACTTTCTGTGACTGAAGAAAAGTTTTAATATGCCTGCTTTTATTAACCACTCTAAAATGTTCCTATTAGGAGCTTGAAATGCTTTATCAGTCTACATGCTTGCTCTCCTGACTAGCTGATCTTTCTGTGCATCCTAACTCTCATTGTACTCCAGTCTTTTATTCACTTGTCATTGCTCTTTGACTTTATGTGTTCGCCCCACCTTGAATGGTCATTGTGGTTTGTGAGGAAAAGAATTTGAATTGTTGAATAAAGGGAATGCAGCAAAGATGGGTATGATTTGGAACACTATTAATGTGATTCTACATGTTCCACAAGCCGAGCAAATCATGGTTTATAACCCTTTTTGAATGTGTATGATATGTTATGTTTGTGCGTGTGTGTGTGTGCGTGTGTGTAAACCTGTATGCATGAGAGAATTGTTTTGTTTTTAATCTCATGTATGTGTGTGTCTGTGTTATGAGGAAGACTACTTTGAATCTACTTATCCCGTAACACAGCGAATAGGGAAAATGGCCCTTGGAGAGAAATTCTAGGAGCTCAGTGTGCACTTTGTATGACTCCTCATGCCTTTTTGTTTTTCTACCTTATATGTCAAGTGCTATATTTTCTTTTTTCTCTCTCTCTCTCACTCCCACTGTTTCTCTCTGTGATTACTCTGAAGAGCTGCACAGTACTTTTGAGCAGGAGTGAGTTACTACAAAACTGTAGTGCCATTAGAAACTGTGAATTTCTAAATAAAACTTTTTTGTTGTCTTTCACCTTGCTCTGGCTTTTATTGTGGGCGCCTTCTTATTCAGTCATACTGTGGACACTGTTTGTCAGTCATTAATAAATCTTAAATTCTGCCTAGTACATAAAGTAAAATAAAATGGGTGTTTTTTTTACTTCAAACTGTCAGAACCTGACTAAACGTGGTGATTCTAAGGAACTCAAGTGGGCATTGATTATGAGAGTAGCCACAGAGGGTTAAATGCACTGATACAATATTAATAAAATTAATGAATGAATATTCTATATGTCCTGATAACTTTACCTGATTTACTGATAATGCCAGTACTTAAACTGAATTATTTCAGTCGGAGTCCATGACCAGGGAATCTGCTGAAACTAAGATATTATTGAACCACTTGAGTACAACCACAAAGCAGGCTTTTATAAAACTGAGATTAAATGAAATGTGAAATAAAATCCAGCAGGGCAGTTTGGGTCTATATGTGAGGCACCATTCGTTTAACTATTCCAACCAACTGGAGGAAGTTAAAAAAAATGTTGTTATACAACATTTTTTCTTTGTCAGCAACATTTTGAAGGTTAACATTGCTAACCTTCTGCTGCTGGAACCTAAACTTCAGTATTTTGTTTATGCTGGAGAAGTAGAAGACTGTCTACATGTTTAACACTGACACATTACAGTAGGACACTAAACAAAATATAGGAAACTGTGATATCTGGATGAACTCTGTGGTGCATATTTTCTTATTGTAGTAAGCACTGCACAGCTGTTTGTGTACAAGATAAACAAAAATATGATACTAGATAAATACTGGCAAAGGAATCTGTGACAGAAGACAGACATTGTGACCAGAATATCTCTACTTCTGAGCTTTTTGAGTCTTTGAACCCGTGTGACAAAATAATAAAACACCGGCCACCAAAAGCAGCGCCTTTGTTTTTTTGTTTTTTTTTCAAAACTTTGGACTATAAAAACGGTAAAGAAGAACAGGAGTTGTTATTAGCAATAAGATTAAACCGCAATAGAGCAATGCGTACATCCTACCACACGGTGTCGCTGCGGGTAGAGCTGACCGCTGTTTCCCTCCAGGCTCCTCTCCGTTGTTTACGTTTATCCGACAACATGGAGGACGAGGTGGATGTTGATATCGAGGGAGACGAGTTTGAAAACAGTGTTAGGTGAGGATATTTATTGTTTCTGGTGAATTCACATTTAAACTGTATGTTGGTGTTTCCTGCTGTAGTCCGCAGCAGTTAGCGGGGACCTGGGAGCAGTGTTCAGTCGCACAGAGCAGGCTAACAGCTACAGCTGTCCTCCTCTCTGTGTGTGTGTGTGTGTGTGTGTGTGTGTGTGTGTGTGTGTGTGTGTGTCTCCTCGGCCCTTCAGCTGCTGTGTAAGTGACAGCTCATCTTCTCTGTGTCGCAGTGAGCTGGATGGAGGAGGTTTAGTTCAGGAGCAGTTCATACAGTCTGCGTGGAAGAGCAGCGCTGGGATACTGGTATGAATGCATGCAGCGGATAGTCCTTCAGCTATGTGACTTGTTATTGCTGGTGTTGACTGTCTCTGTCTCTGTCCCTGTCCCTGTGTCGTGCAGCCCTGGGAGCTGGACAGCTCCATCAGCGCAGAGAACAGAGAGGTGATAGAGAGGATGCTGCTGGAGGAACAGTATCCTTTCACTGACCTCAACAGTCTTTACTAACTAACTGCAGACTGGATGAGCTGCAGAGGTGTCTCTGATGTCTGTGACTAATGCAATCTACAGTTAGCAGAGACATATCGCCTTACAGTCCAAGCCCAGGGATGAACTGAAGAATTAAACACATTTATAATTGATCTACTCTACTCTTCAGTAGGCAGTGTAGCAACTATCCTGACCCGCAATCCAGTCACTCAGTTGGGTGTGTTGCAGTCTGTGTTTTTAACGTGCATCAATGAAATGGTGTCCCTTCAATGAAGATGTTAGTTTACATGAAAAATAGTACTTTAATTGCAGAGTGTCGCGATAAGATGACTAGTGTGTAAGTGTGCGGCCTCCCCTGTTACCCCCGTCACCCATATATCATTAAATGACCTGTTGCACCTGTGCCTCGATAGATTTACTACCACGATAATCTACACACATCTGTTTTTACTACGCTGAAGTTTGGACAGTAAAAGTTGTTTTCATTCAGATTCCCCATAGTAATCGCAGCCTTCAATAAATACACAATGACATTATAATGTTTTTATATTCTTTGTACTCCTGACAGTAGATTAAGCCACCATAAACTTATATAAAGACCCAGTCAAGCAAAAGTTAATAAATAAAAAATACTGCGATACAATGTGAAACTGCCAGAATTTTATGAAATACCATGATATCAATGTTTGGTAATACCGCCCTACTAGTGTCTGCTTCATTTTATCTCAACCCAAAGCTTTTCAGTGTGAGGAAAAGGCCAAATCTTTTGACAGATATTGCTGAAACAATAAAACTCCTCACTTAAACTACTGATTGTAGAAATTAAAGCACAACCACAAATAGTAAGAGAAATGATGCAAAAATGTATGATGAATGACTTCACTGATGTTTTAAAATATGTTTAATTAGTGGACAGTTGCTTGTTACAGCTTCTTAAACTGATTTTAATGTGTTTTCTGTATCATGTCATTGTCAGTTGAACTAAACTGTTCAGATACATAGTTTGGATAACACTCATTTTTAAACCTGATGGACCTGAACCACACTTGTAGATACTACCTGACAGGTGAGGAGGCTCATAATCATATCTGGGAAAGTGATGCGAACAGCAAGACCAAAGCGAAGAAGTAAGTAAATTCTTCCTTCAGCAGTCATATGAGCAGAGTGACCCAGTCCTCATGCTGTTGGCATTCACGTCACGCTTGTGTCTGTTGGGTGTTCAGGTCTCCAGCCAAGACCTCGGCCTCAAGCTCCTCTTCTCGTTGGTCCAAACAGGAGAAAGAACTGTTTGAGGAAGGACTGGTAAGCTCCCCTTGTCAACATGCAATTGTTTGCCTTTAACAGATTTAAAACTTGCTGTTTGTGAGGCACTTTGTGAGTGTATTGTCTAAAATACCAGGTGGCTTGGGTGTGTTTTTCTGCAGGCTCAGTTTGGCCGAAGGTGGACCAAGATTGCCAAGTTGGTAGGCAGCCGTACCGTTCTCCAGGTCAAGAGCTATGCCAGACAGTATTTCAAACACAAGGTGAGACTTGCCTTTACTATGTTCACTGTGTCATGCTGTTACCTAAGCAGCACACAGGGCATGTCTCCCACAGTTAAACTTGTGCTTTCACAACCAGAATGCATTCTTCTGGAAGGCGTGGGAAATAAGAATGAAAAACAAACAAACGTTTCATCATACGTACATGTTTTCTCAGGCCAAATCAGAACCCAGAGCTGCAGCTCCCTCTGCAGGTCCTGTGCTGCACGTACAAGCCCCTCAGCCCACCTCCAGTCGTGCATCCACTCTGGCAAACACTGTTCGTATAGAGAAGCTTTCTGATGAAGAGGATGAGGAGGTTGACATCACCGATGACCTGAGTGATGATGGAGATGGTGACGATAAACTTCAGACCATGCTCAAAACTGAGTTCTGTGAGCCAGAGCTGCAAACGGGCGCTGAGATCCAGGCAGACAATCCCACCGAGGAGCAGAAAGAAGCTGGTCTGACTGAGACGAAGGACAGACCCCTCCATACCGCATCATCATCTTTATCTCCACAAAGTCCTCAACCCTCGTCTTCCCTCCCTTCCTTAGAGAAGACTGGTGTGACTGAGCTGGATGAGAAAGGCAATGAGAGAGTATCACCACCTCTAAAACACCCTCAGACAGAAGCTCAGACCGAGTCAGAGCAAATTACTGATGAGAATGAAGGCCAGAGCTCCCAGCCTGAGAGCTCAGCACAGACTGGTCAACTGGAAGAGACCTGTAGTGATGGCACAGGTAAGACTGCCTTTTATGTAAATCCACCTCACGATGATGGCTGTAGTTGTTTCTGTTGTGAAGTGACACTGTGGTCATATTTGCCTCCCAGATTCTGCTGATAAGACTGAGCAGAGTCCAGCTGATAGACGAGAAGAAGACCAGGAGGACGAGGATGAGGATGAGGATGAAGATGAGGAGGAGCTTAAGGTCCCTGAGCAGGAAATAGAGATGGACATGGAGACCATCACTGAAGATGAGAAACAAGCTATCCCAGAGTTCTTCGAGGGACGACCATCCAAGACCCCAGAAAGATACCTTAAGATCCGAAACTACATCCTGGATCAATGGTAAAACGTTTGGTAACTTCTTTCACCACAACTCTGCAGAAGAAGTGGTTATTACTTTTTTTTGTCTTTTTTTTCCACCAGGCTGAGAAGCAAGCCCAAGTACCTGAACAAGACCTCAGTCCGCCCTGGACTGAAGAACTGCGGAGACGTCAACTGCATTGGGAGAATACACACCTACCTGGAGCTCATTGGAGCCATCAACTTCAACTGCGGTACCTTTACTGAGCCTATGACGGCATTCTTCTCTTCTTTGAAAAACAATCTGGCCTCCCTTTTAATGTGGAGCTGTGTCTTTTCTCTAATAGAGCAAGCGGTCTACAATCGTCCAAAGGTGGTGGACCGCTCCAAGCATAAGGTGGGCAAAGACGTGCTTGAGGCCTACCAGCTGGCCCAGAGACTGCAGAGCATGGTAGGTACCCATAAACTCCTGAACTGTGACCCACAACCTCGAGTATCTGAACTATGAGCTAACTGCTGATTGGCTGCACATTGTAGCGGACCAGGAAGCGACGTGTGCGGGACATATGGGGAAACTGGCGTGACGCTAAAGACTTGGAGGGACAGACATATGAGGTTTGGACACTCTCAGACACACACACACACTGCAATACTTCAGCAAAGTTAGCATAGTACAGTAGTATAGTTAGTTTCATTTAATTTAATTTACTGATCCTGTGTTGGTGGTGTTTTTCATCAGCATCTCAGTGCGGAGGAGCTCGCTCTGCGGAGAGAAGAGATGAAGAAGCACCCCAAACCCTGCAAGATGTCCAGGTTCAAAGGGTGAGCGTGATAGTTCCGCGCAACATGTGCCGATTTCCCGACAGCCTTGTAATATATATGTGTCAATCCTCATTCTGTCACTTCTTCTTCTAGGTCTTTTGATCCTTTCCAGTTGATTCCCTGCAGGTCTTTTGGAGAGGATGTGCAGGTCAGTGGCTGTTTATCTCATTATTCAGTGTTTAGTAACGCAATGTATGTTGCAAGATGGAAAGTTCATCACCTATTTAATCTGATTTATGTGTCCATGACCTCCATAACAGTTTAAAATAAGAAGGCACAGCCGGTTTTACCAGACATTCAGTCTCTTCATTAAGGCAGCCTATAAAAGACTACAAGAACTCCTGCTGTTTGAAATAACATCATGCTCTCATTCAGCTTTCTTGTATCTCTAGCACAGTCTACTGTATCAACTATTTAAACTGTATTTATTTGAATTATTGTGATCCATAGCTGTCAGGTTTTGTAAGTTTGACAGGTGTTTATTTGCTGTTCTCCCCAGGAACCATTCCAGGTTATTGTGTGTGCAGAGACTCTTCTCATAATGGACATGGTATGCTACATACACACACCCAAACATGCTGAATGTGTTCTTTCTCCCTTTGGTATCACACTGATATGTTAAGAGTTAGTCAGCTTGAAGAAAGTTTCTTCGGTGTGTTGCATACACCATGAGCAGATAGTCCTCTAAAGGCAAGCCTATAAATCATATTTATAGGATATTACAGTCTGAAACCAATGTCTCATTTATTCTGTCTGAAACTATTCTAATGTTCCAAATGTGATCAAACGTGTTGTCATTGTCAGCATGCACACGTGTCGCGGGGAGAAGTTATCGGCCTGCTAGGTGGAACTTTCAATGAGGAAGAGGAAGTGTTAAAGGTAGGAAAAGGAGTGAAAATCAACAACGTAGAAGATGAAGACTGAGATTTGATTTATTACATACAGTATGTCGTGAGGCAGGTCCAGCCCTCAGGATGTTTTCTGTCAGCCTATATGTTGAATATCATTTAAGTTTGTCTTTTGGGGATGTTGTAAGTGATACTGAATGGCATCAAGCAGCAGACTCTTATTTTGCCACTTTTTTGTTTCAGGATGCTATTTTAGTACCTTAATATTTGCATGTACACCATTTTGCCAGAAACATGCCCCAAATAAGGGGTTTTGGGTCCCCCAAGACTAAACAACCCAGAGTTGTGGGTGCTCGCTATCGATCTGTAAAGACCCATATAGGCTAACAGGAAATAATAGTGAAAAAGGGTAGCAGAAAACATCCTGAGGGTTGGACCTGGTTCCCGGCATACAGTATTTTGACAGGTGTATTTAGTGACAACCGGTCCTTTGTGTGTCCAGATCTGTGCAGCAGAGCCATGCAACAGTGTAAGCACAGGTTTGCAGTGCGAGATGGACCCACTGTCTCAGACACAGGCCTGTGATGTCCTGTCGTCCCTGGGCTTCAGCGTGGTGGGCTGGTACCACTCACATCCCTCCTTCAACCCCAACCCTTCAGTCCGGGACATAAACACACAGGACCAGTTCCAGGTACAATGAAAAGATGAGAGAAGTCACACTGGAGTTGTTCTACCTGAACGTGTGATCTGATTCTCTATGCCCTGATTCTTCCAGAGTTATTTCTCACGTGGCGGAGCCCCCTTCATCGGGATGATCGTGAGCCCATATGACCCGGCCAATCGATCCCCCCACTCCCAGACTACCTGCTTGTTGGTGAAAGAGAGCCAGGAGCCTTCAGGCCCACAGAGTATGTTAAGCACACACACAATTCAAAACTTCAAAACAGTTAAGATCAAGAGGCTTTGAAATCAAGCTGACAATGTAGGTCAGTGATTTCAGCCCACAGAAGCACAGTTTATCCTCTGGCTGAGTCGCTCTCTCTGTTGCTCCCCAGAGCTACCCTACAGATTCGACTTCCTGTCATCACAAGACATTCCAGACTGGGAACAGACGTTGAGGAGAGCTCAGTGGATCATCCAGAAATACTGTCAAACGCCCGGGTGAGTCAGACTGTAGTGGTTGTCTTGACACAGATCTAATGCTGATCTTGGCTTTTACTGATTTTTGAATTTGTCTTGTAAAACTTAATGGTGGAGTATCTTAACTGTTGTTTTTCTCTTCTGGGTAGGAGTGTTCAGATGGACAGATTTTTCCGTAAAGACTCCCATCTCACCTGTCTGGAGAAGGTCAGTCCAGCCGATCAGTCCACCTAAGTTCACACTTCCTAGTGGCTAATGGCTTCATTGACTGATTTACCCGTGCTTCTACTTTATCTCTTGCATCAATCCCCTCCCTTTAGATGCTGTCGTCTCTAGCCAGGTACTTGGAGCCCCTGCCAGATGAGGAGGGAGACCCCTTCCTCACCCAGATCCAGGCCCTTTTCCAGTCAGACTTCATTGCAAAGCAGCAATTATCTGACCAGGAAGAGGGAGAATCTTTAAATACCTCATCCAGACTGCTGGACTCAGATGACCTGGTTTGTGATCAGCTGATAAGTGAGGAGATGCCCGAGGAGGGAGGAAGAGACTCTGACCCAGATTCTGGCAGAGCTTCAGACAGGCGTGTACAGCCCACCACACAGACCACAGACACAACCTCAGAGACAAACACCAGCACAGTGTTACATCTGGGCTCTGTGCTGTCGACTGAACATGACTATCTACTGTGATGGACCACACATATGACTGTACCTGCATTATTATTGCAAAGTATTAATGTTTGTATCAGTATTACCAACTTACTCATTTCTTTTTTTAACATTTTATTATTTTAGTCTTTCAACCAAAAACCTAATGATTCACCTAATACAGGTGTGTGTGTGTGTGTGTGTGTGTGTGTGTGTGTGTGTGTGTGTGTGTGTGTGTGTGTGTGTGTGTGTGAGTGTGTGTGTGTGTGTGTGTGTGTGTGAGTGTGTGTGTGAGTGTGTGTGTGAGAGTGTGTGTGTGTGAGAGAGAGAGAGAGAGAGAGAATGAGTGTGTTATAGGGGGAAAAAGAATATCATTTTCTCAGTTTTACAGGTTCCTTTTTTAAAAAAAATGAAAATAAAAATCTATTTTCATATATTGTTGTTTGATATTATTTTTGTGTAGCAGCTTGATATATATTTTTGTTACAGTGCTTTAAGGGTCTGTTTACTACACAATGTCTAAAACTGAGGTGAAACTTTTCCATACAAGAAAATGTCAAAAAGTGGTCGCAGTAAATGCTGTCTTCCATAATGATAAGATTAGCTGGTTCAGTTAAAGATCCCTCCAGACATGTAATAGTACATATACAAATAGTAAATAACAACAATAATTTGTGTATGTTTTCCTGCAAAAAAGTTCCACATTAAAATACTCAAAAAGGAATCTACTATTTCTTCCTCATTAAAAATGACTATGAATCTATGAATATGCAAATTATGCTGGACACAAAATGTCTCCTACTGCACTGTAAGTGTTTCTACGTCACATTTGCATAAATTGCTAATTAAACCTGAATTTATTTCCAAACTATCTGTGATATGTGTGGCACCATGCCCGGAACCTTCTTCACGGAGTTGTTTCTAGGGGGGTCGTTTTAGGAGCAGCAGCGCCCAAACAGTCAAAGTTCCGTTCAGTCTGTTGTTAAAAGTACTGACGTTTCGTGTCGTAACTAATGTTTCTTAACTCGGTGTGTTAGTGTGTTAAGTACACACTTTAGGGACAAACATTTCCGTGTACAGCCGTTGTGTGGCGGGGACAGAGGTCAGTTGTAGCTAGCGTCCACCGGTAGCAGTGACATTGACAGCTGGCAGCAGTAAGGACTTTATAGTAACTTCACTAACAGCTGGAGTAAAAACGAGTAACGCTAACGTCCTTGGAGAGTCATTTCTACATTACCATGGGGCGTCGTCTGCATTTGCGACGGACTTTCCTTCCGCCAGGTCAGTCTGAGGAGTGAAATCAGGAAGAGTGAACTTACCACCAAGGACAATGGTTTTACTTTGTGTTCATCTGTTCAGGAGCAGTCGCCTCTGTTCTCTCCCTGCTCATCTCACACGAAACTTCCAGGTGTGCAAACAAAGTGGACATCCTCTGAAGGAGCCACACTCAGTGTCCTCTAAGATCACCTCTCACTTCAGAGCCACTCCGACAGGACCAGCTCTCCTACCCTGCAGCAATGGACGGACGGTGTGTTTCCAGATTAGCCCCAAAACCAGTTTACCCCTGCAGCGGTCTGGTGCTGTCCTGACCCAGTTCGGACACCACTTCCACACCTCAGCCCCTGTGAGGGCCCTGCCTGCTCCTCTCATATGGCTGGTGCTCAAACCTCTGCAGAAGCTGCTGGCTATAATACTGGGCAGGTAGGAGCTGTGCAATGTCCCCTCATTATTACACACTTTTAAGTTGGATGAGCAGTGTGGATTCATCAAAACACATACAACCAGTCCGCACTGTGCTGCATGTTCAGTACATGAATTAAAAAGTAATTACGTATAATTATTCTGAATAGATATATAAGTGGAGTATTTCCAAGTGCAAATAGTAAGGCAGGTTAATTGATAATAGTTTTATGTTAAATATACATATTAAATTGACAAATGTGTTAATTGCTTTAAGGCACACGATTATTTAATTCTACTTAATGCATGTGTTCATTAATTAATGGACACCTTAATTGTTTTATCAACAATTGTAGTAATTGTGTCATTTAAATAAGAACAAATAAATTACCTTTATAGGTTGCTGCTGTGTTACTGTTCGTTGTTTTTAATGAACTGATTTTAAAAAAATCCCCTTCCATTACTGTGTAATGATATGTGTACAGACTTAAAAACAATATTTAACCTGATATTATTATTAAGTCGATCATTCACATCATTACCTTCTGTCTGGTCTCCCCTGTTACGTGTTGTTTCACTAATCTGAGAAGAAAAAACTGGCAAAAACTCCACAAACTGCACCAAGAGTATCATTTGGCACATATTCATTCATTCACTCACTGGTTTGTTTAAAACTGTATCAATGTATTGCACCTGATACGGTATAGCACAATGATCATTTCCATCTGCTGTCCCTGGTGTGTATGTGCAATATATAACAATATAAAAATGATAAATCCACATAATAAATACAGCTGTAGGAGAGACCAGTGCGTATAAGAGAGGCATTATCAGACCGAAATGACAACATGACTGTCTTTCTTTCAACCACTTTTTAACATTAGTTTTAAACTAATACACTCTAATAAATACAGCATTCCTATGTTTTGTTGATGTAATTGAAAAAGCAGTTTGAGCACATTTTGTTGAGTAGTGTTTTATATAACAGTCTCCCCTTGTTCATAATTGTTTTTGTTTTATTTCATCATGAGCTGTTAGAATAGAAGTGTTGGGTGCCCCCCCTTTCTTTATTAAATTTAACACATAAAACATAAACATTGACAATTTAAGTGTATATTGCCCCCAACCATAGAAAATAAATGTATAAAATAATATAATAATTAAATAAATTACAGCAGTGTATAGTTTCAGACAGTTTTCATTCAGAATTATGCAGGCTGCCACTTCCTTTATCCACATCCCAGCAGAAGTCTCCATGTTCTTCCATAATAGTGCACTTATCCTTCTGGTTTATACAAGTCAATGAGCAATGACAGCTGCAAAGTTACATTAAAGTCTTCAGGGTATATTCCCAGTACACAGAGTCTTGCTCATGCAGTGTCTTATAAAGTAAAGAAACACTGGTTATTAGCAAAAAAAGTTCAAAGCTCAATAAGTTGTATTTTTCAATAATATTGCAGTAGTGGTATGAATTTGGCTTTTTGTCCAGTTCTTCAAGAGCATGTTTACAAAGCTGTTGTTCAGGCCTGTGCCCAGGAGGTGGCATAATAAGGCCATTGTGATAATATCATAGAGTGCATGTATATCATAGCTGCATCTGTATTTACAGTCTGAATACATTTTAATTATTAAACCATGTTTGAGATATAATCTGCATGTTTTTTAAAGTTTAAGTTAGAATCAATAATCCAGCCTAAATACTTGAAATGGTTGACAACTTCTATATTTTCTCCTCACAGTAAGATCTCAGGATTAAGAGTGTTGACTTTTTAATTGAGAAAAACATAGTAACACGAGGCTGCATAACACACACCACCACTGAGGCTTCATTAAGTTATTTAGTGTTATTTTGGGTCAGAGAACTCAATTTGGAGACATCTACAGCCACCCTATCATGGAACTCCCTGCATTACATAGAGCTGTTTTGTTTAGTCACTGTTTCCAAACGTCTTGGCCTACTTGTCCACTTTAATATTTGACCGTTTCCTCTGGGCAAACATACAAAATTACTTCAGCATTTTGTGCATAGTACATTGCTGTGAACATATTTTATGCATGTTTTGATGCTACTTTCTTGGCCAGACCTACTTTTAAAAAAAAGATTATTGATCTCAGTGGGTCTGCCTGGATTCCTACATTTCCAGCTGGAACTTTTGCTGCACATTTTTCTAGTTGCCTTTTTTCCTAAAGACATGAAAGGAGCTTCAAATTATTATTTTCTTTTCATTTTTTTTTACCATTGTAAGGCAGTATATGATTCAAAATTTACTTCATGAGGCTGTATATCACAGACCTTGTATCCTTCCCCTGTTACAGGAGTATAAGGAAGTGGTGGGTGGCTCTACCAGCCAACCGCCGGCAGCTCATGCGCCAATGGGTCTGGCAGCGCCGCTGGCATCTGGCAGCTGGAGCAGGCGTTGCTATGGTGATTGTAGCACTCCTTCTCCTGACCCACCTGGATGAGTCCCCAGTGACGGGACGGACCCGCCTCCTGGTGTTCAGCAGAGAGAACTACATGAAACTGGCAACTCTGACTTCAGAGGCCGTAAGAGAAGGAAGAGGGGGTGTGTGTGTGTGTGTGTGTGTTACAAGATTCATAGACAATTACACACGCTTTTAACAAGAATCATGAGATGAAAACAGACAGACATTTAGTGGATGGATCAAGGAAGAGAAAATGTAATATAAAGAGAAATTTAGCAAATGTAATTATTCCCTAAAATGCTTCTGTGTCTGTGTCTGTGTTCGTGTCCGCATGCAATTCAGTACATGGAGGAGTTTGCAGAGATGCTGGTTCCAGTCACTGACCCTCGTCACCAGGTGGTGGAGCGGTTGGTGCAGCACCTGGCACTAAGGAACAAGGACATCCCTGAAGTGTCTGATGTAACCTGGAACGTCCACGTGGTGCAAAGTCCCAACGTCAACGCCTTTGTCCTCCCGGTCTGTAACAGAAACAGAAACAGATGTAGATTTCATATTAGATGTCATATTATCACGTCATAGCATCCTTAAACTCACATGCGAGGAAGTCTTAGCATCAGACTTTACATCTCCTATAAAGTATCTTTGCAACAGAGCAATGTGGATTAATTTCATAGCCAAATTAGTACAATATGAGTATAAGTAAAAGATTCACAGTGATGATTTTCTCTTGGTTGCTCAGAGTACTAAATGGCTTTACAACATCAAGGCAGTTCACATATGTGTGGCAGGAAGTCACAGACAGGTTTATTTATTATTATTTAATTTTTTATGTTCCTTTATGTAGAATGGGGAAGTGTTCATGTTTACGGGGATGCTGGATGTTACGGCAGATGTTCACCAGCTCAGCATTATCCTGGGACACGAGATGGCTCATGCTATATTGGGACATTCTGTAAGTACATAACCCTCTATAGTGTGTTTGTGCTTGTAGCATTATACCACCATATAACAACATATTACTTACTGTACTGTAGCACTTGACCTGACATTGGGAGTCAATCACTTTTTTTTTTCAAAGATAATATCCTTTCAAGAGTTTCTCTTGACCTTGAAACACATTGACAACACACAAAGACACAGCCACTGCTGAGTGTGAGGCAGAAAACATGGAGACCATTCAGTTCCTGAGGCCTGAGGTGTTGCAGTGCACAAGACCTGTGTACAGTATGCTGCCATTTGAGAAGATTAGTTGATAGTAGCTGTGTGTGAGGATGAGTCATTGAAAACACTTCAATAATAATGTTCAAGAACAAAGTTTAGTCGTTTAGAAGCCCTTGGCACACAGTGTAGAAGTTACAGCTGGACGTCTTCCAGGTCTCTCCCTCACAAGGTTGTAAAATATGTATATGGATCTCCTATAGGTATGTGCATTATACACTGAGATCCCCTGACTATTCATCATCAGCCCCCCCCTCTGAGAAGTATAGTAATGGCTGAAGTGGCATCAGTTGCAGTGCTGTTGCATCAGCCAATGATAAAGACTCACTGACAATCACCTCCAAGCACTCACTAATCCTGTCTTTGCTATGATGACCAAAGTCCTGTCGACCTAGGGCACTGTGGCGCTTTAATAATTCTCCACAGATGGCTGTTTTTTTCCTCTGCCTACAAAAGCCCATTCTTCTTAGTCTAAAAAAGTGCCTAATGAAGTTGTGGGTATTTCAAGACTTTAAACGTCCTCGGAGGAAATGCCTGAAGGAGATTTTAATTAGATGAAGGGAATGAGCATCGATGGGCTCGGTATTACCCAGTAGGTGTGCCCTGTTGGATTGGCTGTTAAAACCTCTAAATCTGTTACAGCGTAAAAGTTCCACTAAAATAGATGGGAACAATCAATATGTTCCAGCTGCCTTGTTCACCTTCCTGAAACTTTTTACCTCTATTTTTCTCTCCTTATCCCATTCTCTCTCTTTTTTTCACCCCATACCTTCACTTCCTTCATTCCTTCCTTCTCCCCTCTTTCACCTCCTCCTTGTCATTTCCTCCCCCAGGCAGAACAGGCCAGTCTGTCTCATGTCGTGGACCTCCTGTCCCTTATTCTGCTGACAGCCATCTGGGCCCTGTGTCCTCGAGACAGCCTGGCACTGCTGGGACAGTGGGTACAGGACAAGCTTTCCCAGGTGAGACCCATTCATGAGTGCTACCTGATTTACCAATAACACAATTTCCTTCCCTGAATTGAATAAACATCAGCATTTTCACACTACATACTATATGTTATTTTAGCGCCATTGTTATTGTAGATCTGTCTGAAGCTTGAAAATTAGAGCACTGGAATAGACTTGGATTTCTGATGATGAAAATGTGCATCAATATTATAATTTGTTCAGCTTCATACATACAACATTTGTCTCTCCCTCAGTTGATGTTTAGCCGTCCCTTCAGTAGGAAACTGGAGGCTGAGGCCGATCAAGTTGGATTGCAGTTGGCTGCTAAGGTATCATCATCAATTTGTTCCTAGTAAAGCACTCCACAGATTTTACACATAAAGTCTAGTATCATGTGTTCTGTGGCTCTGGAAGAGATATCAAAAATGTCAGTCTGCTTTCGGCCTGTTGAGGTAACCCTGCTTGGCTTTTAAACCTCAACCGAAACCCTACATTACAGACTGGAGGTGTGGGTTTAAACAAATACAACAGATTTAAAGTCAGGATATGTCGGCCTCTGCTGCTTCGACTTTGGTTTGACATTGTTTCTTTCTCTTTGCGAGTTCCCCAAATTTAGGGAAGTGCAATACTAAATTGCTGGAGTATCCATTTAAGACAATACTACAAAAGATCATTGGAGCTTTTTCAGGGACATGTTTCATGATTAAGGAAGTGTTTAACACCTTTTTGCTCTTTATATTGTAAGTAGTATTTTAATGTTGCAAAATTAGACCTGTTTTATGGTGTTATGTAGCTGGTGCTGTCAAACCTTGTAATCTACCTGCAGGGCACTAGGGGGCACTGTTGTCAAACTAAAGTAAACTAAACTCCGATGATTAGTCCGTAAGGATTTTCATCTCCGCACAAGACAGAGGGATGCCACATTGTGTGTGCGTTTCTGATTCCATGGGTGCGTGTGTCCTTCCCAGGCCTGTGCAGATGTGCGAGCAGGCCCCGTATTCTGGCAGCAAATGGAAATCAGAGACCAGCTGAGAGAAGAGCCCAATTTCCCAGAGTGGCTGTCCACACACCCGTCGCACAGAAACAGATACATCCAGCTGGACCGCCACATACCACAGGTACAGACACACACAATAAGTCTTGCATAGGTAACTTTACCTCAGTTATATAAGTAAATACAGTCCTGCTGCTCTGACTTGCTTTAAGTACAAGACTCTTTGATCCCTGTGTGAGGAGCGGGACCTACACCTGTCTGTTGTTTAGGAGAAACAGTGTAGCTTTAGGAGACTTAATGGAGCTAATGAAGCACCTGGAGAGATGTGTATCCACCTGCAGACATGTGGCGAGGGAAGGCAGAGAAGAAGTAGAGACTTGGGGAGGAGAGGAAAAGATGCAAGATTTTAAGAAAACAGGAAAAACATTTTGCCACACAGGGGCCTAGATGCCTGCTTAACTAAAATGTCTTGGAGGCTTTGATTTGAGGACCTGAAAGAAAGCAACCCCCCACGGTAGCAGCTCGATCTCACAGGCTCACACACTTTGCCAGCACTGTGGCAAGACAATCAATGGTGTTTTTAAGCCTAGAAGGCTAAGACAACAGGCAGTTAAGACAGCAACCTCTATAGAAAGCGTCAGCATCCACAATCATTACGTACGTGTGTGTGTGTTTATGTCTGAGGCAGATAGAGAGATGTACAATGTATGAGGCAGCAGCCGATTTAACCTTGAGCGTGAGTTGGACTGTTGGTACACACTCAGAGGCTCTAAGCACGAAAGACGAACAGATGGGTAAACCGCTAATTGTCCATCAGGTGCCTGTGTCATTCAGTGTGCATGTTCTAGGCGTGAGTGTGCGTGTGTTATACGTATGTGCCTGTGCATCATGTCATATCCCTGTGTGGTAGATTGACCTCTAGCAGCGGTCCTTGATGAGGCCAGGCTGCAGCCACAGGCGGTGAAGTGAGGAAGACTGTTGTTTGGGGGATTCATCAGCCTGCATTGCGTTCGTGTGTGTTTCTCTGGTACTCTCTGGTATCTCTATTACCCTCCCCACACCAAACTGTTCGATCCAGAATAGCAGCACATATGAGGAAGTTAACAGCTGAGCTCACTCCGGTGAAAGTGATGCATAATGTGATGTTTTTAACCTTGCGAGGGGTGACAGCATCAAGCTACTTAACCTGACTCTTCTGAGGGCACTCCGCCTCCACTAGTGCGCTCATCATCCTTCAGCAGAGCGCATTAAGTCCAATGGTAGCATGAGAGGGGGAGCCTGTTGAGTGGGAAGCCAAGTGCATGTATGTGCTCAGAGTCTTGTAGGTGATTCTAAGTGAGAGATTAATGAGTTTGGTGGGTGTGTGAGACAGACAGAGAGAATGTCTCTAACTGCTGGGAAGAGCTTGTAGTTAGTCCCTACCTGATCTGCTTTCTCAGCCTGTACAAGATTAAAGAAGAAAGTTTGCTTAGCTTGTAATATTTTTGTAGCCGTGCTGGCGGCATGGCTTTAGGGATGGCAGCCTGTCTGTCAGTCCACCACTTTGGTCCAGATGGAATTAGCTCTAAAACTACTGGACGGATTGAAAGGAAATTTTGTATAAACATTCATGTTCTCAAATGGAAGAAGCAACTTCCTGATCCATTGACTTTTCCTCTAGTGCCAACATCAGGTTACATTTTTAATATCTCCTAATACTTTTTGACCAAATGCCTTAAAAAGCTAATGCCATTTTCATCATCCTCAGCTGTAATTTGTGTTGTATGTTGTGGTGCAAATTAGCAAATGTTAATATGCTAACACGCTAAACTAAGATGTGTTAGCATTCAGCCTAAAGCCTGGCTGTGCTTTAGTACAGCCTCACAGAGTTGCTACCGGAGCGTGACTGTAGACTTGTTGATTCTCGCTGTATTTGTCTATTGTGTCTTCAGCATCTGTTTATCTCAGTATCTTTGTCTTTGTTGTTTTTGTTTGTTTCTGGTCCTTCATGATCTCCTCTCTGTCTTTCTCACTTTCTCCCTGTTGCATTCATTTCAATTCACAGCTGCGTTTTGATGAAATATCTTATCTACTTATCACAAAGTAAAGAGAACAAGTAGCCGATACCACAAACAAAAACAACAAACGGCTCACCACAACACAGATAAAGATATTTTTCATAGACCTTTTTATATGCATTTTTTGTACTTGTTGTTAATTAACGTCTTGTCTGAAGTTATGATAAATCAGTACATATTCACCTCTGAGCGTGACTAAGTCTGTCCCTCACTCTCTGTCCAGGCTCTGGAGTTGAGGGAGAGCTGTGTCTGCCCTGCTTTACCTGCTACTGACCCTCGCTCCATCTTCTCCAAGAGCGTCCGTGTGTTGCTGGAAAACGCTATGGACCAGGGGAGAGGAGGGCAAGAAGGTGTACACAAACCCCACCTGCCCCACAGCACTGCCTCACTCCCCAACGGACTGCCTGCAGGTCTTTTTGCCCAAACTGCCCTTTCTCTTTCCCCAAATGTGGAGCAAGAGAGTAAAGGCCCAGTCCCACTCGTAGATTCAGAGTTAACTGTTGCAGCCCCTATCACTGTTTCAGAGCAGGAAGGATCCCCACACATGGTGCAGAGTTCTAGTTGACAGGGGTGTTAAATCCTCACAAATTTCTACAAACCTCTAGTTTTTCACAAACTAGCTATTTGCATAAGTAAGTGAGTGATTTGTATATTGGTCTGCTCGCATAGTTTCATTGTCTGTTAGTTAGTAGTCCCTGGGTGCACAGGTGGTGAAGGGGTAAAGTTCTCAACCACCATCCCAGGGCACTAGAAACTCTTACTGGCTGCCAGCACAATGGAGGGTGGAGCTGGGTAATGTGAAAAGAAGCTGCTCTGGTCAATCTAAATGTGGAAAATTGGTGGATTACGTCTACAAAATTAAATAGAAAAAGAAAAAAGTGATTCAAGGCCTATCCTAACCTTTCCCTCTACTGCAACAGCCTTCTGACTGAACTTCAGATAATTTAACCATGCCTAGTGACTACAAAGATGCCACATTAATTAGATAACCTCGAACGGTGAAATGCTGAATGAATCTTAGTAACGCTTCCATACATTGCGAGATTAATATGTGCATTATTCATCAACACACGGCAACAGACGAGAGTAAGCACTTTGTGTGGTGCATGTTGGAGGCTTCGACCATGGCAGGCAGAGGACATCTACATTCTCATTATGACGGCTGCATTCTCATGCCACACACATAGCACTTAATGCATTCTCTAGCCTGAGGGACTTAATGGTGTAAATTTATGCCGGGTTGTTTGCAGGTTTTAAAACACAGCTTTCTGCAGAAGAATGGCAAATATCCACCGTCAAGCTTTGAGAAATCTTTCATGGGATTTTGTAAAATCTTATTTAACAAGGCAAGCTGACTGAGAAAACATTCTTATTTACAGCAACAGCCCGCGGAAGCAGTCACACACTAGAGAGGGGAGGGCAGTTATGGTTCATATCTGGGTAATCTTCGCTGTGTGTGTGTGCTGAAACAAAGTAGCACACTTGGTTAAACTGTGAAATCAAAAAAATGACTACTGTGTTTTCATTTGGGATAAATTATTTTATTTGTGTCATGCATTTTAGGCACAGGGCCTGTATCAGGTTAAAAAACATCAGTCGACAGTCTTTACATGTGCTGTGGAAGCTTTTGCTGCAAACAGGGTAGGTCTATATTAGAATATGTGTCTATATTGGAATAAGTAGGGGTTGTGCAAAAATGTGCAATGAAAAAGCCAAGGGAATGTAGGTTTTTGCATATCAATAACTCAGCAGGAACGTGCTCTGTGTGCAAGTAGCAGGCAAAAAATAAAATAATTAAAAAGAAAATTGTTATTTTAGCTTTTTTTTTTATTGCAAGATCCACCAATATTAAAATGCATTAAAGATGACAACATAAATTAGAGTGTTATGGAAACACTGTGTGTGTGTGTGTGTGTGTGTGTGTGTGTGTGTGTGTGTGTGTGTGTGTGTGTGTGTGTGTGTGTGTGTGTGTGTGTGTGTGTGTGTGTGTGTGTGTGTGTGTGAGAGAACGAGAGTAAGAGGAAAAGATCAGCCTGTGACATTACATAAGAACATCTAAACCCTCCCATTGTCACACCAACCAATTAGACAGTGGGTGAAAAATGTAAAAAGATGTAGACTGAGTTTTTGGCAGTTTTCTCTGAAGTGTTCGTATGTGTATTATGTGTCTAGGAATCACAGTTACATATTGATGCCAGACTCTGGGGGGAAATCCCTTGCTGGCCTCTCCCAGCTGATCAGACAGATGTAACATTTGGAAATCTCATAGAAAAGATTACACCACACCAGTCATATTCAAATGAAAGCTACTAGAATCCCCATCAGTCAGCTTCACCATGGAGCTTTTGTAATGTCTGCCAACTGTTACAAGTTCTTGCTTCTTGAATACAAGATCAATCTTGTGATATGTCTATTAAAGACCATCGGAGCAACATCCAAGTTCCTATTTGAGCATGAACCTCTCTACTTTATAACTAAAGCTGGGATGTCTTAAGGTGTTGCTCCTCTTGGTCATGCAGATTTGACCCTTTTCAGGACTTCTGGATCAACAGCTCTTATTTATTGTAATGGAGACTTCCTGTTTCCTGGCCACATTGTTGTGTACACACTGAAGCATCTGGATGCAGCTCCCTCACCACTCAGAGAGAAAATTGGAACATGAGCAGGCAACAGATGACACACTCACACCCAGAGGTAATTGTAATGAGTGTGATACAATACGCACACACACGCACGCACACACACACGCACGCACACACACACACACACACACACTGAGCTGAGTAATTGTAGCCTACTGCTGGAGTCTAAACAATACTGCGACAGAGAGCTTAATCAAGGTAAACAAAGAGACAGCAGTCAGATGGATTGAAAGCACAGAAATAGAAAATAGACAAAGTGGAACCGTGGGGATTGAAAGGAGAAAATAAAAGATTTACTTCAGGTGTGTGAGGCGTTATTTACATTTAAATCAAGCATTTGATTTTTTAACATTTTAGCTTAAATGCTGGATGCGAATGTCCTGCTGTATTCTATGTAGTTTCTCTGTGTTCGTATGTGTAGCCTTGGGCAGATAAGATCTGTTCCATGAAGTGAGATGTCTACTTTTTGTCTGTAAATTCACCTCAAGTCTCAGATTGTTTTGTGCTTGTATATTCTTCCGCCCACCAGAGACATCAGACTGCTTCTGAGACCTCCGACAAACTGCTTGCAGGTATTTCACAATATTGACAAGCAGCGTTGAGAACTGGAAGAAGGAACAGAAAAGGTAGCAACACCCACAGCAGAGAAAGCTGAACGCACAAAAGACGGCAAACTCAAGATGCTGTTTCCCCAACAAAAACACTCCCAGAGAGAGTCAGGGCAGTGAGAGAGCAACCCAACACATCTGCTGTGTAGGTGGCTGAATGATGTCCCAGAATGCAATCTGGCTACCCTCTGACCTCCCTGTGGAGAGTTGCTCGAAGTGGCTCATCCACAGTTCCATTTCTTGGATCTGCCCCAACACACACACACACACACACACACACACACACACACACACACACACATGCATCAGCTGGCTGCAGCGTGTAGAGGGAATATAGTGATGGAAATGTGTGTGTGTCTGTGTCTGTGGTAAAAGTTGCCGTGTCCTTCCGCTGTGCATTAATTATACATGTGGCATGTGGGTGTCTGATTGAAATGAATATTTTACTGCTTTTAATCACTGCCATTGCCAGAGTGATGGAGCATCTGGCTGTGTTACCTGGGTAATTAAAGATGCTGTCTCACACACGCACACATACAAGTCTCAGAGGTTGTGTCTGCAGTTTGAGACAGAAGTACTCCAGAGGCTTACTAATGAGTCGAAATTAGATTTGGAATGTTTTAAAGCAATGGGGCCCATGAAATATTTCGCTTTTGTTTAACTTTGATTAGCAAAAAGCTTTTCAAACAGTTCAGGTGGCAATGGGAAACCTCTTTTAGCTTCTGTGGCATTGTGGCAGTGTTGGGCAGATGTAGCCGTAGAGTCTCTAATCATGTAGAACCATTAGTCTAAACATAAAGTGTAAACTATTTTGTACAACCTCACACAGCAAGGATGAATTGTCTTGTTTAAGACAGAGATGAAGAACAATTACTTTCTGCTGTCAAGGAGCAACTTCCTAAGTTTCAATGTGTCACTTTCTGTGCACTGAGACGATTTCCCCCCACTGAACAAAACTGACACCAAAATGTTATTTTTAGCAAATAGGACAAAACTGTGATACTCAGGAAGGCTGGGGATGTTCTTCTCTGGAGCAGTCTACAGTGTGATCTAAGTAGGCTGATAACACAGGGCTATTTTAACCCCACATAAAAGCTTTATCTGGATAGTGGTGCTTTTAATGTGAGCTAATGTAGGCGCTAATGTCTGCATTAGTCATACAGTACATACAGTGCTACACTGAGACAGTCATGTTCACTCAGTAAAGTTTAAAATTTTATTGAACCCATATCTGAAAATTGACCTGTAGTTTTTAAATCTGGTATTTTTTACATGGTCTTTGGTCAGCGGTTTTCCCGGGCACTGTGCTTTCTGTTCCGCAGTGAAGGAACAGTCTGGCACGGGGTCATCGAGGCTATCTGGGTATTCTCTTTCAACACACAATACAGGTCTTCCTCTAATGGCTCCTCATGTCCTCTCCGTCTGTCTTATCCTCCTGTGATCTGTGCTTGTGTGTGTGTGTGTGTCTGTGTGTTCATGGTTGAACTGGTAGGGGTTTTTATAGTCTGGCTGCTCTGATGCTATTAGAGATTAGGATGTTAACACAGTCCCTCATCTGACTGCATCGATCCCAACCCTCGCAGTGGAATCACATTAATACTAACAACGTCAGGTACAAGCTTTGTAGCTCTCTTTACCCCTCTCTCTCTTTTACATCTGCTTCTCTGTCAGTGTTGATTTAAATTTGAATATACAGCTTTCTTCCCAGTCTTTCAACAAGGAGAGGGTGCAATCTAATGAATGGAATGAAGGAAGGAAGATTTCAGAAGCAGACGGGGACTAGAGGATGTGAAAATGAGATGAGATGAAATGGTTTAAATCAGTCTTCCTCAGCTGCTCTGACACTGGTAGCTTTCAGTGTTTGAGCACATACATCAAGCCGCAAGCATATTAGGATAATGAACAAGTTCTTTTTATAAGAAAAATGAAGAGCATGCAACAGTACGGTTTATTCAAGGACAGGTAGTGACAAAGTGAGATTAAAGATTGTCGATGACAATGAAATTATATTTTTTAAATGTATAAATACATTTTACATTTGCCTCTTTGTACTCTGTAAAAATGGCAGATCTTCATCAATTAGTTTTAAACCATGTTTTAATAAATTTTATTTAAATGTGTTTGGCCACTTGAGTTGAGAAATTTGAGTTGGCGTAAACAAAACAAAAACCAAACCAAATCTCCCATCCCTGTGTCCATGTGCAGCAGTGCATTATATTCTTCTTCTCACCTCCCCTGTGATCCCTATGAATATATCAAAACAACATGGGAGAGAGAGGAATTCAGACCAAAACACTCAATGTCAGCTGAATTTAACAAACCGTGAGAGACCTGGTACTGTACTACTGACAAGGACTGTAGGTGTTTTTTGATGGCTTCTACTTTAGAAGAACACTCTCAATTCAAATGATGAAAAAGTTTGATTTCATTCATGTACACGCTGTAGGGCTGCAGAAGAGGAGCGTTCACAAAACTCTATGTCAGATATTGTAACCTCTCACCAGCTCATGAAAGTGCCATGGTCTGCACTGACTTTCATTGTGTATGGAGTTTTTTTTTTTTTTTTTTTTTTTTTTACCATATTAGTTGCCTCAACAATATGATGCAAAGACAGGTTTGAGATAGTGTTAGTCCACCTTCAGTAGCTTTCTGTTGTTGTTCTTGTTTTGTTTACTGCCAATAAATCTTTTTGTTAAATGTTATAGGCTATCTATCAACTTATTGACTGCACCAGTGTTGTTGTATTGTCTTGTTAGCAGCCATAAGCCTTACAGTAATTAGAAATAGATTATTATTATTATTCTGATTGGGCCACATCTCAGGTTGAAGTTGGGCAGTATGAAACTACTGGAGGTCACCAAGAAAGAGGATGGTCTTTTTGTGGATGATCATATGCAAATTATTAATTTGTCCATAATTTGCAGTGATTGTGATGCGAAAAAAAAATAATAAAAAAGCTATAAATTGTGCAACAAGGAAGGAAAATGTCAATTAAGCAGTAAGATCTGTAAACACACACACACACACACACACACACACACACACACACACACACAGCCCAGAGAGGAGGTCTAATCAGGCAATTAAGTGAAAGCACCTGTGGGACTTTACTATGGGCGTGTTGGGTCTTTCAACTACCATTAGGACAATAATGTTAGTTGTAAAGGTAGTTGGTAAAATGACGAAGAATATGGTTCAGTTAATTGCTGAAGATGCCTCAGAAAACCGCAGTTGAAAATAGTTTTTCTTGTTTGAACACTAGAGAGCAGCAACGAGCACATTTTAGCTTTGAAAGCAGCTTGAGGCGGAGCTCGAAAACGGACTTGGACAAGTTAGCCAAAGGTGAGATTTATGCTTTATTTGAATTACTGTTAAAGAATATGTTTCATATTTTCAAAATAAAATGCTTAAAGGATGATGACTCACCTAGTTCATGTTTATACACTTAAACATCCTTCAAGCTACAGGTTAATAGCTTAATTAGGCTAAAAAAAAGAGCCATATTTAGCTAGTCTATTTAGCTAAAACATGCTACAAGATATAGGTTATTAAACTA